CAGAGTGCGCGCAATCTCGACGGGGGAGCTCGGTGTTTGACGGGGAGCGAATTCGACACGTCCTGGGAAATAAGCCAACAGGGCACCAGAATGATTTAATAGCTCAAGATGAGCAACAGACCAGCACCTATGGTCTGGTAAATGGGCTGGATTCTCACGTCTGGCTCCTGTGAAGCTGGCAGTATCCCTTGTGAAGGGCGATAGGAGGGAACAAGTAATGATAGTGAATCAAACAAACTATTTACAGCAGAGGTGCAGGAAGTTAGGTCCCAGCAGGCTTTCGCTGCTACTTTTTTCCAGCAGTCACGTGGATGGCAATCTTCACATGGATGGATGGGATTCTATTTGTGTGGCCATCCATTCTACATAGACAGACAGGCATTGAACAGCAAAGAGAACACAAGAGCACAGTAGATGACACAGTAGATGATAAACGGGGACATCTCTGATGCTGGTGGTACAAGTAATGGCTACAGTCTTTGGTCTACGTATAATCACCTAGAAATGTGGAACTTAGTGTCATCGCCAGCAAGATGATTGCCCAACTGAATACATCCAAATTGTCATTCTCAGGTAGGTATGCTCGTATTCATATTCATGTCATATTCATATTTCTGTTCTCTATTGCATCACTGGTCGCTCCCACACGCCGTGTGTCGCCTGGGACTCCTCTCCATACATCAGCGCTCTATTGACTTCCTTCCACCTCCGCCGCCGTTGCATGTATCAATATCAAGTAAATGCCGTGCCACCCCATGACATTTGTAAATATGGCTATTCGTTCAGGAGGCCCGTCTTCGGTTGTCTCCTTGCTTGCCTTGGTGATACCCATGTCTGTATGGAAGAAAACGGAACATGAAGGAGGAGAAAGTATGAGAAGTAGGGAGTGGGGAAAGGAAAGGGCGTAAATAAAGACGAGAAGACAAAGAGAAGAGAAGAATCGTAAGAAGAAGAAATAGTAGTAGAAAATTCTCGCCTATCTCGCAGTGTGAAGGTTGGATCTGCTTGGCTGCGCGAGGGTATGAGCGTATCTCTCTAACTATCCCTATCCGTAATCCTATTTCCTAAGCCATGTCCCTATTCCCACTCCTACTCCCGCTCTCACACTTTGATCCGAGTCCGAACTGAAGCCAGTCGGGTGAGGGGTGGTCCCACGTCAATCAGAATGTCATGCCATGGTTGTGTCGGACCGAAGGCGAAGGAGTCTTGAGAGAGGACGGTGGGAAAAAATAAGAGGGAAAGAAAAGGGGAGTAAAAAAAAAAAAAAACCAGCAAGCAACACATGTGGAATAAAAGATAAAAAGAGCAAACCTGCATCCGTCCTCATAAGCAAATAAACATGAAAGAGAAGAAAGAAAAAAGGACATCAAGGGAAAAGAGGGAATCTGAAGTGCCGGAAAGAAGAAGAAATAGAAGAAAAAAGAAGGTAAAATCAAGTGGTATCATGCAAGCAAATCCTCCCCGCAAAGAGCAAGGACACGGGAGCAACACAGCACCGTAGCAACATAAGAAGACGTAGAAAAGGAAAGCCTCGTGTATGTAGATACAGAGGGAATCGACCTTGATGAGTGCAAGGGGGTAATATGTGTGCGTGGTATGTGTGCCTTTCCTTTCACCTGTAAGCTCTCGAGGTTATTCACAGAAACCATTTCCTCCTAATCCCACCTAGTTTTTTTTTGGACCTCTTTCTCCCCTATTCGCCTATTTTCATCTCTGTTCAATGGAGTCATGATTCATCAAGTGGTAATTGGTACGTGGTTGGTTTGGTACCCATCCGATCGTGTGTGGTGATGGCACCGAGGTGTGTGAGTGCGTGAGATATTTTTTTTTTTCGGGTTTTTTGTGGTTTTTGTGGTAATAGATGCATCGCGTCGTCATACCCCGGATCGAGACACAAGAAGGCCAGACCGGACCAGATCTAAGATATGTTGCTATGATATATGATGCTTAACGAATCCTCGAGCAATAGAAAGGGCTTAACAGTGGTGGGCGGATCGACGTGAAAACGCTGAGGGTGAGGAGAGAGGGGGGGAGGGGTTTTGGAAATGTGGGGAGGGGCATATCACGAAGTCGGACGAGATGGGAAATAGACTGATTTGGTGGGTTTGATAGACGGACCGACGGGAAATGGATCGTTCGTGAGCCCGTGCATAGAAAAACCACTTCAAGGACATGTATCATCGTTCAAGACGTTAAAGCCGGGATATGAGTGCCTGGATCAATCAAGGCGGGCCATCATATCCTCTTTCTTGAGAGGAGTAAAGTTGTCGATATCAAGACCCTGCGCAACAAGCTCTGCTCTGGCGTGTGGTGGAATGAGACGGTGGTTCATATTGGGAGCAATAGAGAGCTCTGCAATGGGAACAAGTCAGTAATGGAACCAATATAGAGCAAGGTAGCAAGCATTGAGACGTACCATGGCGGGTGAAGTTGAAAAGCTTGGGCATATCACGGGGAGGAGCATTTGGATGACGCGAGTCTGGAAGACGAACGTTTGGCTCACGGAGCTCATCAAAGAATGGATGGCAAAGAGCCTCAATGGAGGAAAGACGCTGGGTGGGAGTGTACTCGAGAAGAGCAGTGATCAAGTCAATTGCCTCGTGGGAGGCCTTGCGGAAGACCTGATAGGACGAACAAATCAGCATACACAGGTCGAAGAAAAGGGGTAAAAAAAAAAAAAAAAAAAAAAGAAAGTAAGGACGCCGGGATGGTACCTTGTTGAATGGGTGAGGCTTGATCTGGGGGAACTTGTGCTCCATGTAGTTGGGGTTCATGGTGCGGATCTGCTCGCGAGTGGGAGTTCCCAGAATCTTGATGATCTCAACCAGCTGGTCGATGCCAGACTCTCCCTGGAAAAGTGGCTGGCCGAGCATGAGTTCTCCCATGACGCATCCGGTGGACCAGACATCTGCACAGATATTAGCAAGACTTGTGTATTTATTTTATTTTATTTTGTTATTGTTCGGTGTTGGGGAGAGAGGTAAGGGACATACCGATCTTGGTGGTATAGTTGGTGGCACCGAATATCAGCTCAGGGGCGCGGTAGTAGCGGGAGCAGATGTAGGAGACGTTGGGCTCGTTGGCGACGAGGATCTTAGCACTGCCAAAGTCGCAGAGCTTGAGAATGCCGGTGCTGGGGTCAAGGAGGAGGTTCTGGGGTTTGATGTCACGGTGGCAGATGCCCTGGGAATGGATGTAGGCGAGAGAGCGGAACAACTGGTATGTGTACAGCTTCACCTCGAGGAGTGGCATGGTAGTCTTGAGCTTGTTGAAGTACCGCGAAGCACGGTAGACGGTCTCTGGGACGTATTCAAGCACCAAGTTGAGGTAGACCTCGTCCTTCTATTTAAAGAGAAAAAAGTCGTCGGGTCAGCAAAGAGGCTCAATGTCGTCGTAGTTGTTGTTGTCGTCGACGTCGTCAGTCGTCAACAACAACACCTTCTCCCACTTTCCACTTCTCCCACTTCACCAGACACACACGCACGCACAAGACACGACCACAATGCAAGAAACGACGGAGAAACGACTTACTCTATCACCGTTGGAGTAGTAAAACGCCTTGAGCTCGACAATGTTTGGGTGACGGACTATGCGCATGATCTGGAGCTCACGATTCTAACACGCAAAAGAAGAAAAGGTCAGCTTTTTACGGCCCTGTATTTTGGACGCCAAATTACTCTTGCTGCCATGGCTCACTCACCTTGAAGCGTTTGTCCTGAAGGACGCGTTTGATGGCAGCATCTTCGCCTCCGGGAGACAGCTTGGTCTGGAAGACAATGCCAAAGGAGCCATTGCCCACGATCTTGCACTGGGTGTACTGCATATCACGAGTCTCGCCAGTAACGCCGTCCTGGACCTTCTCGCGGATCACCTCTGCAGACCAGTCAGTCAGTCAGTCATTCGAGCCAGCCGCCAGCTCCTGCGAGTCCAACCGGGGAGCTCTCTGGCCGGGGAGGAGATATCGCTGTCAAGGGCGAAGTGAGGGAGGGTTTCGAGGTGGGAGGGGTAAAGGGCAGCGAAGGGAGAGCAAGCGACTTACCACCCATACGCAGGCTGGAAAACATCCCAGGCCTATTCTGTGACATGTTGTCTTGCAAAAAGCCAACACGGAAGAGCTGGCCGGTTTTATCGAGCTGTTTGACAGCGGGAAGTTCCTTTTTTTTTGGTCCTTTCTTTCTCGACGAAACGAGGCGCTCTGGCGTGGGAGTTGAGGAAACGGGGGAACCTGGGATAACTATCGCGTGGTACTGCGAAATTGAGGAGTTTCGAGAGGTCTGCTGGGAGGAAGAGAAGAAAGGGCACCACCACAACAAAGATTAGCGAGACCAGGCCGAAGCAAGGAAAAGAAAAGAAAGAGAGAGAGAGAGCCTTTTTTTTTCGGCTGGGCAACGATCTCAACGGTCCCTTTCCCGTGTGTCTGCTAAGTACCTTGTTCTTACTGGCCTTGGGGAGGCTCTCGATCGTCTTGCGGTACGGTCGAGGGAGGGCAGAAGCAGAAGAAGAAGAAGAAGCAGGAGATGGAGGTGGGCGAGAGAAAAGAAAGAAAAGAGAGGGAGGAAGAGGGAGGGAGGGAAGAAATAAATACACAGAGGAAGAGGAAGTGAAGAGGGCAGGCCAGGTGAATAAATAAGCAGTTTTTGTTATGGTAATGTAAGGGAAAGGGGAGGGAATGGAGGGAGAGGAACACAAGGCGGGCGTGCTGCGTGCAGGAAAAGAGGAGGAGGGCAGAGGACGACGACAGGCGGGCGGCGGGGATTTTTTTTTTCTTGGGGGGGGAAGAAGCAAAGCAGGCAGGCAGGCAGGCAGGAGGGAGGGAGGGAGGAAGACAAGACGGGCGGGTTTTTCCCTTAGGCTAGTTAGGTTAGGTAGAGAGAGGGAGAGGGAGAGGGAGAGGGAGAGGGAGAGGGAGAGGGAGAGGGCAGCAGAGGGCAGCAGCAGAGGGCAGAGGCACAGCGGCAGCGGCAGCAGAGAGTTTCCTGGCAGGCTCCACCAAGCTTAAGATGAAGCAGGCAGACACAGATGGACAGCAGGTGGACAGCAGACAGACAGACAGCAGACACAGAGAGCGGACGGAAAGGGTGCAGCAGACAGAAAAGGATGAGCTGCAGCAAAGAACAGGCAGGCAGAGGAGAAAGGGGAGACCTACAGTGAAGGAGGAGGGCCGGTGAGTGGGTGAGCTCTGTGGACGGGCGGTACAGCTGAGGACGATGCTGACGATGGGACAGACGAACGACGGCCGAAGACGGCAGACGAAGATGATGCAGTGACGGCAGAGAAAAGAGACGGACGATGGACGGATATAGAAGACGACGAAGAAGCTGAAGGTCGAAGCTTGCCAGGTCTCTCTCTCCCTCTCTCACTCTCTCTCTCTCTCTGTCTCTCCCAAGAAGAACTGCTCAACCCGGCAAGCTTATTTAACTACTCAGACTAGTTATTTTAACCTTGCGCCCAACAAGACGCTCGTGTGGTAAGAGAGATTGAAGCAGAAAGCAGGGGAGACAGCAGACGGACGGCGGAGACAAGACGAAGATGCAAGACGAAGAAGAAGAAGAAGAAGAAGAAGAAGAAGAAAAGAAGGGGGAAAGGGAGCTGGTTAAGAAGAAGAAGGGGGAAAAAGTGACCGTCTCTCCCACCCCCATCCATCGCCAGTCAGTCTCCCTACTAACTACTTATTATTTACTTTGCTGCTTGCTCGACCTACTTTTTTTAAAAAGTACTCCGTAGGCTTGCTCGCAAAAGCAAGCCCGCGTGCCAGACAGACGCCAGGCAGAGCTGCCACCAGGCGTCGGAGGGCGGAGGAGACGATGCAGCTCCCTCCCCGATCAACCCATCATCCATCATCCATGTCTACGGGAAGCCCTACGGGTTCTATCTGCAACTTGCCATCGTCTTCGTCCTGCGTCTCAGCAGTCCCCTGGTTTCTGGTTTTCAGGGCAGGCAGTTACCGCGTGCTCTAGCTACATTGTCCGTTCCCCTTAATCATGCATCTCCATCACTCTCCCGTCCCTCAGCTTTGTCGCTTTTCCAATTTACAAGGAGAAGAGCAAAAGAAAAGGGAGAAGAAGCAGTCACGAGAGAAGCTTGAGGAATGGAGATCCTGGGCTGTGGTTGTAGTGGAAATAAACGATGAAGTATAACCCAGGAGGTTTCTTTCCGTTATCCAGCTTCTCCCTCTTCTCTCTTAATAGTGTACCTCCTCTTCTTCTTCTTCTTCTTCTTCTTCTTCTTTTTTTTTCCTGCTTCGGGTTCGGCTTCATCGTCTCCTTGCTAACTAACTACCTAATGGGGGGTGATCCTGCACTTAGGTTGCGGCCATAGGGACAGGGGGGAAAGATAAGAAGATGAAAGAGGGAGTCAAAAAAAAAAAAGCAGGACAACCGACCCTTTGGCCCAGGGCATGGATGGCATGGATGGTCAATTGGCCTTGAGAACCCCCGTCTCTCACTCTCACTCACTCCCTCCTCTCCCTGTCCATCGTCATCGTCATCGTCCCATCTCGCGCCACGATAGAGATAGAACGACACAAAAAAAGTAAAACAAAAAGAAACGAATAGCCGAAAAAGAAAGAAGGATGAGGATGAAAGATTGGCCATCTCATCGTCATCGTCATCTCCTTCACCTTCTTCCTTTCTCCGACCATCTCGACTCTTTGAACTACCTGGTTTCAAAGAGTATATCGTGTGCTGGGACTGCATATTGTCGGGTGACCAATTGCAATTTTCACCTGGACCAAGGATAAGCTGTCGGAAGTCACAGGATCGCGTATCCACCGGGGGTTTAAGTTAGTTAGTTTAGCTGGTGGGCGTGCTTGTTCTTCTTTTCTTCTTGTACCAGGGCCCCGTACTCCGTACTCGACTGCGTACTATAGTTGAAGGTACAATCAACACCGCCTGATAGACCTTCTTCTTCCTCTTCTTCTTCCTCTCTCTTGCCTCCTCCTTCTGTGGCCACTCTTTTGCCTGCGCTCAACGGCCAAACAAGCGGTCGTCAACTCCGGAGTCGATGCCTGTCTGTCTGGCTGGCTGGCCGGTTCCCTGTTTGCTTGCAGGTGCAGAGCTCCCATCCCCTTGTCCAGTGCTGCTCGCCCGTATTATTAATACACAGCATGTCCACCGACAGCCGATTTAGTGCTCGCTTGGCCGGCCAGGAGATGAAGTCATAAGTTTCCCCTTATCTCTCTCTTGCCTTCAATCCTCCCTTCTTGTCTCCCTCCCTTTCCAGCTCCTTTCCAAGATAGACAGACATCTGCACTCCTCTCTCTTCTCCCTCCTCTCTCTCCTCTCTCCTCTCTCTCGCTCTCTCAGCCCTAACCAACGGCTCTCAACTGGAACTCCCGCTGTCTTTCTCTCTCTCTATCGGTTGTTGGTGATGACACATTTATTAGTCATCAATTCACGTGAAAGGGGGGGTTGTCACTGCGTTTAAAACTGTTCGACTTTTTTGAGCTTACACGGGGCGGGACAGCGTAAAAGGGGCCAGGATCAGCTCTCTGTACGGCCTCCCAGGGTTGGATAGGACAGGAACAGTCAGTCGTCATGGGAGCATGGACTCGGCTCCCTGCATTGCTTTCCCATCAACGTAGAGATTGATTGATTTCTCCCTGGGCCTACGAGCTTTGTTTGTTGCAACAGACGCCGCCTCTTTGAGGCTGAAATTAGATTCGCCAAAGAGCAACCACCCAACCCCGAGATTAACCTATAAACTTATCAGTCGGGCCTCAGGGGTTAGCTACTCTTTACGATACAATAATGTTCTGTTTTCATACGCAGTATTCTTAAGTATATGCAAGCTTAACTGTGATTTCTGCGGTTGGGGTGAGCATAATAAGTTGGGCTTCTAGAGCAGCTGGTATAGTTGGTCCTACCCTATCACACTACCTATTATTATTAACACCCAGGATCTTAACGACCTTGTGCAACAGCCACACTATCCATTCTACATATTTCTCTCCTTGCTTGATATAGATCCAATCGCTCCACTAACTAATTTTACTGCATAAAAACTTAACTAGCCAGCAAAGTAGAACATAATTTCGAGGAATAATGCAAAGCACAGCCGCTGCTACATGCACTCTCAAATACTACGTGCCAAATCAGGCTAGGATTGTGCGTCTTTGTCTCCGAGTAGCCGAGCTGTTCTGCGAGAACGTGCAAGGATTAGCTATCTGTTGAGCTGATTGCTCTCCCCGTTTTGCCGCCTGCTTTCTGTCCTCTCAACGGCTTTGATCTGCGCCTATAGTTGGAACAACTTAGCTTCGTGGTCGAGATATTGAAAGTCTAAACATACATAGCTACCTTCTTCACTTACAAAGGAGATAAAACTGCTTACTCGCCCTCGTCTTTTACATCGAGAGAAACATCTACATGCAGTCCTCCCCGGTACGGGAACAAGGCTAGGAGGAGCTCCGAGGCCAAGCCAGGAGTTACGGAGGGTCTTTCACCCTGCCTAGTCTATATACTCTGATAATGCTGTGACTTTTCCACCACCCCTCTTTTTTTTTTTTTTTTTTTTTTTTTGGTTTCCTTTCCTCGGTGTCCCAGTGTAAGTCACGATGGGCTGGTGATGCCGGAAAGGGGGAGCGGGAAAATGGGAAACCCATGACGTGCATATATCCGCCTCGATATAACCTGTACAGCGGTTATGTGGATGCACCCTGGGATCATATACATACATCAGTAAAATCTGCCTTTTCGAGGCCAGGTCCCAAGGCTGGCTGTGCTATTTGAACGGCCCGCCAGGACCCTCTTCCTGCTCAACCGTCCCTCGCTCTCCCTCCCCGCCCCGGATAACCCCTGTATCCACGTCTGTGCCATCCTATACGGCGCAGTCACCACATCAGCTAAGTAAGTATGACTTCACCGTATACCATGCAACAGGCCATTTACGAGGCCAAGGGGTGTGTAACAAGGGCGTTGCATGTCCGTGCCTCTCGAAGGCCGTTAGCTAGTTGTTGCCCAGGCCGTGTAACTCCTTAAGCAGTTATCGTTCTTACGCTTTCCCATCACCAAACCGCTGCACACCCATCCACCGGTCCTACTCTACACTTGGCCAACCCAAAAACTGCCCACAACGATACAGTTATATATTAGAAACATACCCTGACACATACAGGATAAGAGCTAATTAACGACGGGCCCAACTATGGCTAAGCTCCCCTGTCCCAAGTTAGCAGGCTACCAGCTTTGCACGAGTCAGGGCCTCCACCGTGTTTCAGGAACACACAAACCAAGAACAGCCGGGATAGCTTCAGCTGGAGCATCGATCTTAGCATCAACGTGCGTTAATATACCTAGGTTGACTATCTCGGATTACATAGATCACCTTCTACAGCAGCCTCGGATCTTCCATCCTTTTCCTCTTTCTTCTTTTATTGGTAAACTAGTTAGCCTACATCACCCCTCAAAGTTATCCTCTAGCAAAAACAGCCGTCTCCCGGGGATAAATGGCGTATACTTATGTACGTATGTAGTTACTCAAAACTCGAGTGGATAGGCATTAGTTACTGATGTGCTGCACATCGACATCGACATCGACATCATCATCGACATATATACTTCCCACGAAGAGACGGGGACGAGCCCCTTGGCCACCAAAAGATGCTCACATGTGTGTATTGCCACGCCAGCTGCACGCACTCCCAGCCAGCGCCCCCAAAAGAGCTCCCTGGACATCATACGAGATCGAAGCGGCGTCTTTCCACTCGCAGCCTCTCTCATGCTCAACCACTGAAACAAACGACCAGATGATGATATCATTCTTTGCTCCCCCTAGCCCAGCCTTACAACACCGCAAGGTCATTGGTTGCATGGTGCTCCTCTTTGCTCTCTCTGCTCTCTTCTCTCTCTCTCTTTTCTTTCTTTTTTTCTTTTGCTGTTGAACCAACAAACCATTATCGATTGATTATGTACCCCTTCCAACCAGCCATGAAGCTTCCTTGTGCCTGTCTGTCGGGTTGATACGATCCTCTCTTGAGCTCCGAGCCCATCGGCTTCTTACGCCACTCGAGGTTACTCCTGCAGCAAAGGCCCGCGTGTGTGGCCACTGACCCGGCCTGACCTGGACCAAACTACTGCACGCCTGCACACGCCTGCAACTCGCCTGCACTGCACAGGTACAGACACTAAAAGAGAACAGGCACAAGTGGAGCACAGCAAGCGAGGGAAAAAAGAAGAAGAGAAGGACAGCACCTATTATCGATCGATATTATGGTTAATGTTTTCTTCTCTTTCGCCCACCGATCTCTGCCGGGAGGAATTATTAATAGCTCACAGCGGTCTCGACTCGCCCTTTTTTTTTTTTTGCTGTCCTGAGCGACGTTGCTTGGATTCTTTTCCCGTCTTCGCTTCGGTTTCTCAGGCGGCTGGCTTTGTCCAGATGATCGATTTAAACACTCTGGGCAACTAGCCGGGATTCCTGAGCTATGGATACAAACCATGCATAACGCATTTCTCGGGCTAAACACACCAACCTAGCGCGGATGCTACAGGTCAAGACACATCCTTACATACGCCGACACCTTAAGATATGGAGACTTTTTCCTGTCCACTTTGCTTGCTGTGCTCCATTCTGTACCTTCTCGTGACATGGTAGGACGGGGTTTGTTCCGTTCTTGACCGGGCTCGTAACGCCGAATCGGACGAACAGAGGTTGGGACGGGCCACCTTTCGAGAAGCCCGCTGACCTGCTCGAGCATAAACAACCATGCATCGCACGGCTAATATATTGAATTCCGTTCAGCAATTGCGTCCTTCTTGACTCCCGAAAACCTCTCGAGGAACAGTACGTACGGAATCTGACTAAATTAACCATATTATTATTTAGGCTTGGTCTCTCCAGCTACATAAGTATATAGAGAGAGCGAAAAGTCAATTCCGTCCCTGTCACCTTACATTTCCTTTCTCTCGTTCTCCTCTTTTCATTCTCCCTTGTTGGCTCGCGCTGCTTTGCTTTTTTGTCAGCCATGGTCGTGCTCCATGACCACGAGCTAGGTTCCATGGGTCGTCGAAGGAACTACAAGGAGGAGAAACGAGCAGTTTTGTTCACGCAGGACCCTCTCCTGTGTCACCGATGGCCGATAGAGAAGCAAGATAAAAAATAAAAAAAAAAAATAAAAAAAAAAAAACAACGAAAGGAGGAAAATGGCAAGGCTTTCGGGGGATAAAAAAGATGTTGATAAGAGTGGGATTCGAACCCACGAGAGGTTTCCCCCAGCAGAGCTTAAATCTGCCGCCTTAAACCACTCGGCCATCTTACCAGAATATTAAGTTGTTACCCACCGTAAACCGGCATATAGCAGCCTAGCCGCCTTTTGCTTACTCCCGTCTCAGCCTCCTCATGTGATGGCCCCAACCTTAATAACAATAGTAGTTGTAGTAAATAATAACTCCAGGCTAGCGCTCTTTAAACAGGTTACATCATAGACGGACAGGACGGTAAACAAGTCGTACCTTTTCCCTCCAGATGCACGGCATACGGCCAAGCTGCGAAGATGATGCAATGCAAATCCATCTTGATTGATCAAGGGAATACATTATTATGTAGGTGGTGTCAGATGATCTCATCGAGCTGTCAGTAAACTTCCCTGTTCCCTGTAGGCCCCCATGCAATAGTTTGGGCTTGATATAGGGGTGCATTCATGCACGGTGATGGTAATTGATAGGTGAGCTGGTTTTTTTCTTCTCGCTGTGATGGACCAACTCGATAGACGCTGCTCCTTACCCTTTAATTCCTTGCTATTGTTGTTATTTCTCTGCTCTGTATTGTTTGCAGTGCGTCTAATTACCTTAAAGTATCCCGTGGCTGTGGACATGCAATGCCAACGTCAGTGGAGGGCGCAATGTATTTACTCTGCTCTGTTCCTCTCTTCGAAAGCCACGTACAGTTGCATGGCCACGTAGTTGCAGGTTGTTGCGTGTAAATCGCAGACACGACGGAGTATGCTGTTAGAATTTTCAAGCCTCGCTCTTTTTGGCTGCAGTATTGGTAGGACTTTGCATATATCAACCGTCAGCTGAACTCTTATGCTTAAAGGGTATAGCTGTTTTGGATAACTAGTGTTAAAATCATAGTTGAAGGTGGTTGATTAATTTGGAACCATGGAAATATACCAATTGAAGGTCGGACAACAGGCCTCCGCCAACTAGGCTAGCTACAAAGCTAGTGGGGATTCAAGTTTTATCACAATCTATTACAGTCGAATCTCAATCTACTCATTGACGCTTCAAGCGGTGGGAACGGAACGGGCTGAGCAAAAATCAAGTCATGTTATTTTACATTCCTTCCTTCTAAGTTTTGCAGGCAAAGACTAACCCAAAGGAAAGATAAGAAATATAAGGTAGAACAACAAACACAGCCTAAACAATAATCCTATCCTCCCATCTGGTCTGAATCTCATGTCCCATAATCTGTCCACAGAACACAAACAGAAAGGTAGTGTGAGTACAGGAAAATCATGACATGACACTTTGGGAAAAATAAAACAAAAGTTACCATTAAAAACAGTAACGAAGGGTGAAAGTGGGTGTGTTAAGACAGGAGAGTAATGAATAGAAAGTAAAAGGGGGAGGAAGGCTCTATACAAGATGAAGTTCCGTACACCTAATACAACTTCCTGGACGTTTATGCATGGGAATAGAAGAAATGGGGCTTTTGGGAGTCCATAGAGACGGGAACAACCTGACTGTTGAGGCCTCATGGTGATCATGACCACAGGCAATTAAAGCTGCCCACGATGCGGATATTATAGAGTGTGCGGGATATATGGTCGTGAATGGCTGGCTGGTTGAATGTAGTCTTCAGGGGTCAAGAGTAGGAGGAGAGCAAAGACGAGAAGTGATAGACAGAGGTTTTTCCCCCGACTACTAATTTAGAAGGGCGGAGAGACGCTAGCCAGCTCTCCAGATTCTTGCTGTTCCATCAGCTCTTCAGAAGCCATCTCGAAGGAGACAGCAAGACCAAGCTTGGCAGTTTGCTACATGGGAGAATTAGTCAATTGCCCGAAGAGTTAGTTGCTTGTCAATGTGAAGCTATATCACTTACCTTGACCTGGTCTATTTCACCAGCAAAGGTGAGAGAAATTGGCATGGCAACTCTCTTCTCCAGCAGACAGCTTACTTTTCCGTCACTATCAACCTGAGCTCTGAACGTAGACGCCCTGAACTCATACTTGGCTCCAACAGCGGTAGTTCCCTCTCGCTGAAGACTGCCTCCCATCATGGGGTTGCCGCTTGGCGCAAATTGAAGGTTCATATCGACACCAGCTTCAACTTTGTCGGAGAGTTTCTTCCAGAACGACGCATTGATGGTTCCCTGTGCCTGTAGCTGGGCACTGGCAATCCAGTCATCTGCCTTGTATCGTGCACAGTATGAAAGAGCAGTCTCTGGCTTAGCACCGAGTCCAGCGCGCTGCCACATAGCCTCGAGTCCCAGGGCCAACCCAGGAGTGATAGACTGTAGGTAGCTTCCGATGAAAATACCGGTGAGCCCCCCTTCTAGAATCGATGGGTTGAAAGCCTTAAGCGACGCCGAGAAATCAGATCCGGTGTAATCGTTATCGAGCTGAATGAGGCCCTGCGCAGAACCAGGCATTATCTGAACGTTGGCTTTGCTGATCAAGGATGGGCTCCAGCGATAGTTTGCAACGGCAGCCAGGGCCCCGTCACTGCCAATGTTTCCTTGCATAAGCACCTACGGAAAGACACCAGGTCAGCCTAACTCCTAGCTCAATTTTAAGATACCCAGACCGGCTTCTCAACAAATGCTACTGTTCAACTTACATCTGAAGTTCCAAACATAGTAGACAACGCATATGGAGGAAGGTTGCCTTGAGAGCCCATGGTAAACGCATGAGAGATTCGGAAAAGAGGCGAGACTCCGAAGACTTTGGTCAAATCGGCACGAAGGCCTGTGAACATGAAATTGGAGAGCAAGACATCCTTCTGGACTTCTCGAGAAACCATCTCAACAGTGCCGGGATTCGACAGCCCTAGGTCTGCTCTCCGCCGTGCAAACGCATCGTATGAATCTTTTAGAACTCCCGCGGCAGGATTATCCGTCAAAAACGAAAGAGCAGAGCTGAAGTCGGCCATGATGACAGGATATTAGGATAAGCAAGTGATGGAATGCGCAGTATGAAGAGTGAAAGAAGGGCGTCGTTCTCAGATCAAAAGCAAAATTAACACACAGCCCTGAACGAGGGACGTCCGCCACCGCCTGTCGGACTGTCGAATGGCAATTGGCAATCGTGCTCCGTTGCTAAAGCTCGCTCAGCGTCAACAGCGTTTTCTTGAAGATGAAGAAAAATGAGGTTTTTGGTCTTGAAACTTCTTTTTTCCGCAAAATCCAAAAGGCCTTCCAATGCCAAGCCCTCGACGCGCGCTAGCTTCTTTAGGCCTCCATCGTCGACCGACTGCCTTCTGCTTGCTCGGCTTCAACCTCCGACTTCGCCAGTGTTGATGCTGGTATCTCTCTACGAAGATACGACTTGGAACAGCCCTAGAAGCTGGTAGTCTGGCGGAGGAAGCCTATCTTTTTCCCCTTTGCATGTTTTCAATACCATCATTCTTCTTTACACTCTACTTCGGTTCCCCACATGTTTCTTTAGTGGCCCGCCTTGCAGGGAGCTCCTCTTTCTGATATCAACACTCGTAAAAGACAGGTAGAGTCTTGAAATACTTGAATTTGGCTTCTAAGAGCTATATATACTAAATAGCCGTGTGTACGCTGCCATGGATACCCTAATGTATGTTTTCCGACCCTGGCCACGTTTATATATTGATACCTACGGTATAAATGTGGCTAGACAATGCGTTGAGAGGTATAGGGACTCACCTCATCACATAGAACTGCCGATGTTGTGGCGACAGCGCCTCGATTTCGGCGGAAGTCGTCGACCTTTGTCGATGCTATCCATGATATGCCGGAAATGCCAGCCCTGGCACCAGCTCAACTTTATAGTACTGAATCCGGGCGGCTCTTCCATTCTGGACGGATTGTCATTATCACAGTTGGTTTACCAGCCCGGGGAAAGACGTCAGTGAACTTTTTATCATTTCTCATTGCTATTAGCTGTGCTGAAAATATTTTGCTTCTAGGCACATATCTGTGGCCCTTGCTCGGTATCTTAGGTGGTATGCATACACAGCCCTGTCTATTCAGGTCTTTTGTCTTCTAACATCTAGACAGGCTTGGTGTTAAAACTCGCATATTTCACCTTGGAGATTACAGACGAGCTACCGTCGGTGTTGGCGGTGAACTGCCTGAGGATTACTTCTTTGCGAATGGTAGTTATCCCTAGTTTTCAGAAGAAAGATATTGGAAAGCTAACAAATCCAATAGCATCTGCTTCTTCCGTCCTTCTTCGACAGAAGATTGTCAAAAGATGCCGTGAAGACATATATCACTTTTTGAACCATGAAAATGGACAAATAGCCATATATGATGCTGTTAACCCACTGGCTGCTGGTAGAATATCTCTCTCAAGAGAATTTGCGAAGCAAGATATCGAGGTATGTTATTGTAAACAATGGCACGCGGAAAGGAGAATGCTAACCTCCTAGACCTTATTTATTGAATCATCTTGTAGCGATGAGCGTATAATCGAAGAGAACGTGCGGCGAGTGAAGATATCATCCCCTGACGTATGATACCCCTTCAACTTACGTTATTCCACCACTCAATCTAACACTTCACTTTTTGGATTGCAGTATGTGGGGTGGGATTCCCAGGTGGCTGTAAAAGATTATCTAGCTCGAATATCCGCGAGAATTCCACTGTTCGAAACCATGCAAGAGCAAGAGTTGAACTATATCAAGGTGCATTCTTTGTTAAATTCGTGGGGGAAAAATGCTAACGACTTAATAGATGTTTAACGCCGGTGAAAAGATGATGATTAACAACCGTGGATTTGGTTATCTCCATCATCGGATTGTTTTTTACCTGTTGAACCTACATATCAAGAACAGGCGTACCTATTTTGTCAGGGTATGTCCCTCAGTTGTTCTATACTGCAGTCCACGAACTCATTTCTTCTACAGGCCGGCACTTCTATGGAGTCAGACTCGTACAAAGCCGATTCGTCACTTTCGTCAAAAGGGGAAGATTATGCCCGCAAGATGACTGACACGCTCATTAAACATCGGGAAGAAGAGAGAAAAGTCCTACTAGAACAGGGCGAGCCTGATCCACAGCTCAGGCCACTCATAATCTGGTCTTCAACCCGACGCAGATCTATAGAAACTGCACAATTTCTTCGTTTACAGGGATACAAAGTCCGACATCGTTCTCAAATGAGCCAGCTGAATCCAGGAGTATGCGAGAAGATGTCGGAAGAACAGATCAGAAAAGAATATCCTGATGAAGTAGAAATGCATGACTTGGACCCCTATCACCACAGGTATCCCAGAGCTGAGGTAAGCGGTAGACCCATCTGGTTATGCGTTGGCTATTGATACTAACACAATTATAGTCATATCACGACTTGGCCGTGCGCCTTGAGCCTGTCATCCTTGAGCTTGAACGTGAACAAAACGATCTGCTTATCATTGCACATGAAAGCGTCTTGAGAGTGTTATATGGGTATTTAATGGCGTGTAACTCTACAGATATCCCGTTTCTGTCCTTCCCACGCGACCAGATAATTGAGGTGATTATGGACATGTTTAATCATATATATATTCATGGGGTATAGTGCTAACAGCATCATAGATAATCCCTGGCAGCTATAATAACCAGGCAAAACGCATTCACATACCAGATCTTCCACCAGAAATTGTTCCAGGTTCACCAGAGGACATTAAGATTCCCGTCCCACCGAGTGGCATCGTTTCACCAATGCCTGGTGGTGGGCTGGATGGCTCCTCTTTTGAAAGGGGCGCAACTCCGCAGCTCGGATTTAGGGCACCCAAAGATCCAGAAAAGATATCCCAGCACCATGCCGAAGATGTCGTCTGACGGGTCTTCTGTTCGCGTTCTGCTTATGCACTAGACCATGTATGAGATAATGATCCACTCTTCCTGTTCCTCGTGTTATGCCTTTATTAATGACGAAACTGTTCGTATAATGTTGTTATTGAACCAGACTCTGCATGCTAGTATCTAGCCTCCATGGAGTGTAGATACGAATAGAATGTTATCACCATTCGAAATCTCATAGGCGTCTTCTCCTTCCAGCTCCCAGTCGGCGTCATTGATTAATACTAATATGCCAGGTCGTCTGGATTAAAGATGTTAGCCTCATTTCCATAATATCGGTCTTCCAGCTTCCAGGAGTGGTGTATACTAACACTGCATCATCAACCACGAATAGCTCTTTTCTCGGGTCTTTCATCACGTTTTCGATTAAGTATTTGACTAAGAAGCTGATATTCGCAGCAGAACCGCTTGGATCCCAGGACGGCAGTGCAATCTTATGAACCCTTTTATTTGAGAATAGCATCTCAAGGCCTCCTCTGAAAGCGATTGTATAATTAGTTCTATTGCTCCGGACATAAAATTCTTTCCTGGGGGACGAACGTGAACTCTACCGTAATATCAAGGGTCTCATTACCCTTGGTATCATCGGGTGTACCAGCCATAACCGAGCCCATATTTAATCAAGCAGGCTAGAAGATGCAGTTCTCCTTGACGTAGAATACGCCTCCAAATGCGTGGTGGTTTCTACAAGGTCGTTAATATATTAGTTAACTAGTTAGGTGGGGAGGGAAAAAATCTCTTATCGATAAGACTGCGAAGGTTGTTTTTGCGCAAGGAATCCATAATGAACGATTTCAAAAAGGAACAACATCCTCGCTTGAAGGGCAGCCTGCCGGACGGGAGGTATTTAGCATTATTCAAAGCTAGACTCAATGGCTTTGCCATCCATGGTGTCTATCACCACAGATTTCATCAGTGTTGGGGGCAACAGGAATCCCGCGGCAGCAGATTGGCACCATGGGTCTGGTTTGTTAGCCTTTGGTGCGAACAACAATATTGCCGTTTGGAACCCCTTGGTAAGAGTTCAATTACTTCTTCTCTGGAATTTATTGACTGAAAATCTAACCAGTAATTTGCATTATAGGACAAAAATGGTGCAGGTGTATACACACTGTTAGTGGGCCATACCGACAGAGTAAATGCTGTTAAATTTTACACATCTCCCTCCAACGGGTCGATACTACTTCTTACTGGCGGTAGTGACCATACTATACGAATATGGAAACCAGATACTTCCAGTCCGCCCAAGTTTTCACAAGCGGCAGTCGTGGAGGGGTATCATGAAGGGTCGCTGAACTGCATTGAGGTCGCTTGCGGGTCAAATACCTTCGTCTCTGGGGCTGCAGATGGAGCTGTCAAAGTTTGGAGTATAACTGAGGAGAGTGATGAGATAAAATGCCAACTATTACAGAGCATTTCGTTAAAACCTCGATATTTCCCTCTTGCTATGGCTCTAAAACTCATACCTCGCCAAAATTCGGGAGCCAAGTCAGGTGGAATGGTGCTTGCAGTTGGAGGCACTAGGGCTGCAGTCCAGATATATGCTGCGCAGGATACCAATGACCTCAAGTTTGAACTGAATACTACCCTAACTGGACATGAAAGCTGGATCCGTTCCCTTGCGTTCTCACCTGTCAAGGATAGCCCTAGTGGCGAAGATAGGCCTACAAACTCTCAGGACTTCCTTCTTGCTTCATGCAGCCAGGATAAATACATTCGCCTTTGGAAAGTGAGCCTAGGAGAAGGTACTACTTCAGATACGCCTAAGAATGTGGAAGACCAATTGTTATCTGGAGTGGAGCAGGCGACTTTAACTCCAAAGGCGCATAAGTTTGACTTGAACGGTGCCAAGTATTCAATAACATTCGAGGCTCTTCTTTTTGGCCATGAAGACTGGGTTTATACTGTAGCATGGCACCCAAACCCTCTCCGGCAGCAGTTATTATCTGCTTCCGCAGATAACTCTTTGGTCATCTGGGAGCAAGACCCCGTAACTGGTGTGTGGTTTTCTCTATCGAGAATGGGAGAAATTAGCTCTCTTAAAGGCTCTACCACGGCTACCGGTAGTGCTGGTGGCTTTTGGGTTGGTCTTTGGTCACCGTGCGGGGATGTTGTTGTGTGCCTAGGCAGGACAGGCAGTTGGAGATCCTGGAGACATGATACTGTGGCAGATGCATGGCTTCCTATACCAGGAATAACTGGACACGTTAGAGCAGTTTGTGATATTGCTTGGGAGACCAACGGAGGGTATCTTTTGTCTACTAGTGGAGACCAAACAACGAGATTATATGCTGAGTGGAAGAAGGGCAACCATCACTCATGGCATGAGTTTTCACGGCCTCAAATACATGGCTATGACCTCAACTGCCTTGCACCACTCGGCCCATCTAGATTTGTGTCAGGTGCTGATGAAAAGCTTTTACGGGTCTTTAATGAAACCAGGGCTGTGGCTAATTTACTTACACGGCTAAGTGGACTAGCTAACCCGAAAAGCGACGAGCAAATGCCAGACGCTGCAAGTATTCCAGTCCTAGGGCTGTCTAATAAAGCAATGGACGAAGAGGTTGGCGATGACGAGGGAGCAAACGAAGGCGACCAGGGGGAACAGCAAACGGTGCAGCCAGAAGTATATAACCTGGAGTTTGACCATCCACCGCTAGAGGACCATCTCGCCAGACATACACTTTGGCCGGAGCATGAGAAGCTATATGGCCATGGATACGAAATATCAGCAGTCACTGCAAGTCATGATCTATCAGTCATCGCTACTGCATGCAAGGCTAGTTCTATCGACCATGCGGTCATTCGTTTATATGACACTTCAACATGGAATGAAGTACGGCCTCCGTTAACTGCCCATTCATTGACGATAACTTCATTGCGATTTTCTGCGGATGACAAGTATCTGCTCAGTGTTGGGCGTGATCGACAATGGGCGGTTTTTGAACGAGACTCGGTCAACAAATTACTGTTTAAATTGCTTGCTTCCAACCCGAAAGGCCATTCAAGAATGATACTGAGTGCGAGCTGGGCACCGCATCCAACAGCTACAGTATTTGCTACGGGTGGCCGTGACAAGTCCGTTAAGATATGGCTCAAGGATGATGACACATTTACTGCGAAAACCACAATTACTTTCTCCTACCCAGTTACTGCTGTCGATTTCCTGCCTATATCGGTGCATGACGGACTCTACATTGCTATTGGAGATGACTCGGGTCAGATATTTGTCGGCAAGATCCAGGTGGACAGTTTGGAGGCAGGAGAGATGCTCATGATTCCACAAACGGAGTGCCCGTCAAAATCTATTACTCAAATAGCTTGGAGGCCAATAAAGGGACTGGTAGAAGTTCATGGAGAGGATGTGACTGCAACTGGCAGAAAACCCGGATACCAGCTTGCTGTCGCCAGTGAAGATTCTTCAATTCGTCTATATAATATTGATAGTCTTCCACCAAAATAGGTAGGTTCCTGCAGAAAAAGGGTAACTATCTAGTTACAATAGTGAAAAAAACGAGACGACGTTCTAAAAGACCAAATTCCAAAACAAAGGGCAAACAGTGTTTAATGTCTATGGCGTTGAGGCCGCGCCTATGCTCAAATGCAACCACCCAAGGGCATTAACAGCAGAAAATAAGAAAATCTAGCTCACCGTTAAGGGTTGACGTAATGGGTTATCTCGATACACAAGTATCACATCCAATGAACTGGACGTCTGCCTGCTACTCATTCATCTCTGATGTCCTCCTTCGCCTCTGCTGGTCTTCCGGGTCGAGGACCACGCTCCTTCATATCCTTCCTTAGCCATTCCAGCACCAGTTCGCCAAGCTGACTGTTCTCCGACATGCGAGGCCGGTTGCTATAGAACTTCTCCATAGAACCCCAGTCCCTTACATGGCCCATGTGCATATGTACCAGATGCGTAGGCCATTGAGCGAGGTTGTCCAGAATATGGGTGGCATAAACAATAGTGCAAGGCCTCCTTTCAGTTTCTCGTTTCAAGAAATCCAAGAAGTTGCTTCGGCTAAGTAGATCCAGGTCAACAGTGATTTCGTCTAGCAGGAGGAGGTTCCAGGGCCTCAGCAGGCCCATGGCAAGCTGCACACGTCGTCTCTCTCCATCGGACACAGCATGCATGTGCCATGACATGTCGATGTCGAGGATATCAACCAACTCATCTCTTCGATCCGTATAGTAGTCTCCACCCACAGACGCGAGTAAAGTCGGCACATCGATATCGGTTCGAACGATAGGGTTGAGAACCCATTCGGTTCCTAGGTATGTGACACCTTCGAGGCCTTCTTTGAACGGGTCGACTCCACCAATGACGATGGAACCGTTTGGTGCAAGGCGTTTGCCTGAAAGGAGCCTGAGGAGCGTACTTTTTCCGGCACCATTGGCTGGATAAAGAGAAGCAAAGGCAGAGCAGAGACAGTTTAGAAAAGGCAATTAATGTGAAATCGCGGGGTGAGGATGGTGGTTCATGGAGGGTAGGTGGTATAACAAGGACGAGGAATGGAGTCTGCTTTACCGCCAATCAAGAGTGTTCGACTGTTCTGAGGGAGGTCGATAGTGATATCTGACAGTCCTGTCGAGCCATCGGGGAACTTGTAGCTCAGGTTGTTGATATTTATATCGGTACTCGGGGTGTTGTCGGCGGAAGCCATTGTGAGGCTTGAGTGTGTTGTAGATAACTGCTTTCAATCAAAAGAACGCCGGCTGGCAGAGAAATAACTAGTTCCTGATCGACAATCACAACAGAGGGTAAATTTGCTTCCTCCAAGGTTTGTCAGTCAAGGGGAGGATGTCTTTGATGCTTTTGTATAATTTTCTGTGACTCTCAAAGTCCTTGAGAATCTACCCTTGCAGGCCCCGACCTAGATGCAAAACCACGTGAAGAGATTTATAATCAGCGAGTGTTTCAAACGATCCATGTCAAAGTGCTCGCTAGCTGGTGAAGTCTCTGTGCTATTTCGTACTCGGTTTATCTCAACATGTCAAAAGGATGCTAGAAGAAAGCACTTGGTGCGCTGAAAAGTTGATGGTTATGAGGGACACGTTAAGATCCCCAAGTCCTATAACCGGCTCTCGGATATAATACCTGTGAAAATTCGGCTTCGTCAATACCATGCGGTGGGGGTGTAGATGTTTCTTCGAGGATTGAAATACAATCTTTGGTAATGCCCTATAGTGCGAAGTCTTCCACAGAGGTCTATCAAATTGGACGGGAGAGCATCTGTCATTATTGATATCTCAAATCTGTGTATGTATTGATTCTCAGTATTGTAATGTATGTAAGAAAATATGTACAGTTTCACTAACTACTACGTAATTTATACGTAGATCATACGCATATAAATTACAAGCCCTCGTGAGGAACTTTTCTTCCTCCTTTCGGATTGAAAACCGAATGAATGCAAAAACGTTTTCTGAACAGAGCATGAATGTATCAGTTACCAAGGACATGTAACACATAATAATATGTTTAGATTTACTCGATCACTCATGGCGAAGGCAAATTCGACTATGAATCCTTTGATTGCTGTGGTTGGCGCTACAGGGACGGGAAAGTCCAAAGTGAGTAGCTACAGAATATCGTATAACCGTTATATACCCCAGAGTGATAGCATGCACTAAAGACTTTACATAGTTAGCCGTTGACCTTGCTGTCCGAGTCAATGGAGAAATAATCAGTGCAGATGCTATGCAGATGTACAAGGGCCTTCCGATAACTACCAACCAAATACCCATTGAAGAGCGTCACGGTATCCCACACCATCTGATTGGATGTGTAGACCTGGACCAGGACCCTTGGAGGATTGGAGTGTTTAAGAAGGAGAGCCTAAAGATCATCGATGAGATTAGATCAAGGGGTAAAGTCCCTATCTTGGTTGGCGGGACACACTACTATACACAATCCGTTCTCTTTCATGAACCATTACTTGATGAAGGCGAGGGGAATCCGAATGGCCAGATGTTCAAGCCATCGGAAGGACCCCTAAATAACGAAATTTTGAAGGCAGAGCGGGAGGAATGTGTGGACTTTTCCATACTGAATGCTTCTCCTGAGGAGGTCTATGAAAAATTAAAAGAAGTCGACCCTGTAATGGCAAATCGGTGGCATCCAAATGAGAAGAGAAAGGTTCGGCGGTCCCTAGAGATCTACTTACAGACTGGGCGGCGAGCTTCAGATATATATGAAGAACAGAAAAAGAAAATTAGACAGGCAGCGCTGCAGGATGACGATTCCTGCGAGGCCGGAGAGTTCGAGGATCCAGACACTCAGCTAGGCCAGGCGAGGTTTTCTCTTCTCGTTTTTTGGGTCCATACTGAAAAGGAGGAATTACGGAAGCGACTTGACAAGCGTGTGCACGAAATGATAGATCAAGGCCTATTGAACGAAGCCCAGAGAATGTTCAAATATTTACAGGATAAAGCCTCGGAAGGAGTTGAAGTCGATCGAACTCGCGGGGTTTGGATGTCAATTGGGTTTAAGGAACTGGAGCCGTACATTAACGAACTTCTCACAGCAAAGGAGGAACAAAATAGCGAACTTGATAAAGTGAAGGAGGAGTGCATTGAATCAATTCAGACTGCCACAAAAATATATGCTAAACATCAAACAAGATGGATTAGAAATAAATTGTGGAAGGCTTTAGGCACTTCTGGGATGACAGACCGTCTTTATATTGCTGATTCGACGAATGTGGAAGATTGGAACACTGTTGTACGCCAGCCCGCCGAAGAAATTGCCTCAAAGTTCCTTTCTGGAGTCTCTCTCCCACATCCCAAAGATATGTCAGTGGTTGCGAAAGAATTCTTTGAATCTGCGAATGCACCCGCTCGCTTTGAAGTTGATGACATTCCACAAATGAGGGTATGCTCGACCTGTAATGCTACCATTGCCGGAGCAGATACCTGGGAAATCCATATGAAGGGGAGGAGACACAAGAGGGCAATAAAGTCTGCTGAAAATAGACGGCGCCGAGACGAATATTTCCAAAAATTGCGAGAGCAGTCCGAGAAGAACAACTGTGAGCCTTCTCTGGAAGCATAATTACCTGTGGTCAAATAGCGGTCGCTTAATGACTCCAACTGCATTTAATAAATGAAGGCTAAACGATAGGTTGTCTCACAGCAAGCTTGCTGTGGCCTACCCTTGCGATCTCCATTCGACAAATTCGGGGGTCAGAATGTTTCCATGGCCAGTTTCTTGGGTTTTAAGCACTTCAATCTGACCAGACTTGGCGGCCTTTCGAATTTTCCAAACCCCTTCCGAGTTCACGATTGTCTTCAACCCTGAATGGTACGTTACCTGGGTTAGCCGTATGATTTCAAGAGAAGGATGTCTGACTCCATAACATACAAGTCAGAAACTGAGAGGCAAAGTTAATACACGTGTTTGCATCCCATGTATTTGCCCCTCTTTTGGGAATATTGGGAATCTCATCGGTAGTATACTCTTCAATTGCTAGGAGATAACCATCCTGGTCACGCCGGCCGACTATTATTTTTGGAACTCCGAGGAGAAATGATTGGACCCAGAACTTGAGAAGCTTGCGCTCAAAATTTATAGCGTCGTTTGCATGTCGTATTGTTGCAGATGTCTTGAGCTCCACCCAATTGATAGGGTCGTCTTTCTTGTCGGGCTTGCAGTCCCACACTTTGACACGGGAATATCTATGTGAATATTCAGCTCTTTGAGTTTGGGTTTAGATGGCGGCATACCTGCATCGACCTCTCCAGCAAGAAGCATCCTTATATTTCCAATTCCCGTGCGGACAAGCGAGCAATATTGTGGATTGTTATTCACAACGTCACTTTCCCTAGCTTCGATTGTCTCTCTACTTGCCGCGTCCCATGGCTCCGAGAGTACGGAGACGGTCTCGAACTTATAACCTGGTTTCAGAAGAATAAGTGAGTAGAATGGCAACAGTTGTGTTCGGTCAAATCAAGGGGCATACCCCAATATGACATCATATCAGATGAATGAGCTCCTGGGCGCACTCTTCTGTTTGATTGTTCTTTAAGTTGCTCAAGGTGGTAAGAGTGAGACTCTTCAATAAATCTAGCATATCAAGGGGGTCATTGGTGAGCGCACTGCCAGTGGTAATGGTTAGATAGAGCAGAGTCTCACATTTGGCCCTTTGGAAAGGCGAAGATGTCAGTATATCTTTACAACTCGGAGGAAAAGGGGAAGCACACTTGAAAACATGTGGCATTCATTTCAAATCTGAATGAGGAAATGCAATGATAAATTAGCATCCAGGTATCAGGTTCCCGAACGAGTTAGCGTTTTATTACCCGTTCATAGTATCATAAGGAGCGGTGAATATCTTTAGAATAGGATTATTAGCATCCGGATGCATCACCGCTGATGAATAAAATATGAACTCACCTTGGTCATCATTCCTCTCCATGTAACAAAGTCCATATCGTATTTCCTCCCTTTGTCCTTTTCGGTCGCGATAATAGTGTCAAGGAGCGCATTGAGATGCTTATCTTCCGATTCATCACGTTGTATAAAGGTGTCAAAGCCTGCCTTTAGGTCTACCGGTAATTTTGGAGGATAGTAGTAACGGAGGCCAGAGTCATCAAGTCGAAAACGGTGCCATTCGTCGTAAGAAAAACAAGCAATTTCCTGAATATTTATAATGAAGGCTTCTGGTTAGCCTAAAGTAGCTGTACACAACAAGTGTTATTACGTATAATCCCACCCTTGGCCGCTTTAGGGGTTCCGATATTCCACAGAACTTCTCGACAGGCAGGGTCTCAAAGATAGCAGCCATGTTTAAGCAACTATGGAGCATGTTAGTTTAGGCTGGTAGCGCAAGACAAGTGGTATATTACACTCCATGGATAATAGCAGACACTTGGTTATTCTGAATCGTCCTGTCCGGTTAAGGAGCGCCGTCGTTCTCCTAGTTGTGTTCGGTGGTCATGCAGGAGAATTTAAGCAACCTATAACTAATCAACTGTGAACTAGGTTGATTCAAATCGGCTCCAAATAACTAGTTCGTGGTATCAATATATATGGAGTCTTGGATATTAGCTTCAATACTATCAAATAGGTGGTCAGTTGTTATTAGTAGGTAGTTAGACGTAATAGGTTGCTGGTGTTGTGACGGAGAGCTTTAGTTAAGTTAATTAAGAACGCGCTCTGATTGGCTGTGCCGACGACACTCTTCGTTGGATGCTTTCCCTCTTGCATCTCGAAAAATGGAAAGACATATTGCACGTCCAGACTCTTTCTAGCTTCTTCTATAATAACAGTTTGTTTTACGAGGATACCTCGATTCTACACCTGTGGCTTATTCCTAAATCTAGTTCACATACACTTCTCTCCCATAGCAGCTAGCTACCCCACATCCAGAAGGCCACAGCAGAGTGGTGGTTATCATGACATCTCGAATTGAGAAAACCATTGCTCGGCAGCAAGAGAAGTAAGGCTGAAGCCCTAGGTCGCTAATTGTTTAAAACCCTTGGGTTATTTAAGATTTTGTGTGCCATTTCTAACTCTCATTTTGCTTGCAATAGGATTGCCTCCGGAGCTTACTACGAATCCCACCAGCAGCTCCGTGTGATCGCAGCACGATATATAAAACAGTCCAACTACGATGCAGCTGCAAATATACTATCCGAGGGTGCCAAGGCACTGCTGCAAGCTGGGGCTCAGCAGGGTGCGTCTGCAAGTGGTGGAGACCTAGCAACCATGCTTGTATTGGAAGTTTACAACAAGGCGGGGTGGGAGGTTGCGGATGATGAAGTCGGAAAAAAGAGAAAACGTACGGCCATCGAGACTTTCCTTCCGCTGCTGAATTCTTTCCTGGAATAATACTGATTTTTCCTTAGAGCAGCTCATTGAATTGCTTCGGGAATTCCCACCAGAGGAGCCAACTAGGAAGAGATATATAAACGAAATTATTTCCTGGAGTTCAAAATTCGGGGGCTTAGAAAGGGGTGACCCGGATTTGCATCACGCTATTGGATCTGCCTATGCACAAGGTATGTTTATCACGTTTTGACGAGTTTGATCCTTAGGGTTGGGGTCTAATCTAGTGCGGATGTTAGAGAATGAACCATACGACGCTGAGAAACATCTCGCTTTCGGGACTGTTGAATCCGCCGACACTCTAGCAAAATTAGAGTATAAGTGGTACACATATGACGAGCAGCACACAGCCGGGATATACTGCTGCCGCGCTGTCTTCCCTTATCTTCTCACCGGTAACATTCTGAACGCGAATAAGGCCTTCGTGGTATTTACACAGCTCCTTTCCACATCGGAGTCTGGTAAATCCCTCGGTGTTCAGGAAGTAAGCAGCCAGCAGAACGATGTTCGTGTATACCCTTCTCTACCTCTGCTTAACTTCACAAACCTACTCCTGCTCGCAATCCAGCGCGGCACTCCTGATTTATTCAGGCAGCTTCTCAAGCAGTATCAGTCCCATATTCAAGAGGCCGGTGAATGGGATCATGCCTTGGCCCACATCGGAGAGCTATATTTTGGCATAAAAATACCAAAACAGTCAAACCCGTTGATGGATATGATGGGGATGTTTTTCGGAGGGCCATCTGGCCAGTCGAAATCGAACGAGCAACCCAAGGCCTCTAAGAGAGTGGAGGCTCCACCGTCCCTTGACCTAGATTAGGTTCTTAGGTACGAATTATAGACATTACTAGCCCTCCGTGGATAAGAATTTGGTAGTCCGGGTAGATGATTGCTATAGGCCAGGATTCGTTCTGTAAAGAAACCAAGCAAGCATTTGGCGGCTATAGTTTGACTTCTTCCTCAGCTTCGAACATCCAATTATCCTCTTCGAGCTTTAATACGCTGTCCCTGAGGTTTTGCTGAACTAATAGGAACACTTCTAGGGTTATCATTAGCAGTTGTTCTAATAGAACTAGTTTTATTTCCAGGTAGACAAGTAGCAGCAAGTGATAGTTCATACCAGATGGCTCGCCATTAATATGCCTACTCCTATTATGACGCATCATTTCAACAAAGCTTGCATCGATCTCTGTTTCCTTTGTTAGATATAGATTTTTCTATCCAGAACTGACTCCGAGTGCAATAAATGAAGAGAGAAGAAGCATACTTTCTTTGTCTCTCCCAGCCAATTCTCCTCCCTCTTCAACTGGTATCTCAGCACCTCCAGAGTGCTCTATGCCTTCCATTGAATCGCCGCCATCACCTTCTTCAAACACTGCGGGCGGTAGCACAGGGATATCCAGCTTGTAACATCCATTCTTGTCACGAGGGACAATATCACCGTTATCAGGACTAGGCGATAGAGACGTGCCAGATTTAGGTACTGATTTCGATATATTGCTTCCACTAAACGGGTTTGAGTTTCCGCTTAGGCCTGCATTGGTGTCCATTTGTATGACAGAACCATAATCTGAGGACGTAATAGACACCGAGTTGGATGCTAACTGCTGGCTCCGGGAATTGGTTGCAGAATTGAATAGAGTCCTGCGCACCGACGGAAGCGTAGATGTAGGTTGTGAAGATCCGGTTCTTGTGGAGTTTGGCACCTGCACCGTCGTGGACGCATTTGACGCGGTAGTTTGTGTTGTGGTAGCGCTACCCCCGGAGGGAATGCGTCTGTGTCGCTGTCGTGATGTCATGGCGGGCGCATGTTTCCGTGGGCAATCTAAAAATGCGATGTCGAAGATTCGTGTAATAAAGCTAGGGAGAAATAAGAGGTGCTGTCTTTCGAAGACCTAAGAATAAAGTAGAAGAGCTAGGTGGTTAGGTCGCGTTGTTGCTTGCAATACATGGGAAGTGTTGGTTTATCGATATGGAATTAACCTTCATGGCCGCTTTTAGTTCTTGCGCGGGAGCGAAGCCAGCTCCGGGGATAAGTTGGCGCCGCTTTAACTGCCTAGTTATTCCGACTCCAGGGGCTTTGCGGCTACGTTCGACTTGCTAAAAACACATATCCAAAGTTGATAAGCCTGGATTTACTACAAGAGCGCAGCCTGTTCGTCCCCTATGACTGAGCTTCCTAACTACACAGAAACACCCTCCCTTATAATTAGAAGTTGGATTTGCTGGCTGTTAGTTACTCCTTGAAAAATTACTCGCGAGACTGAGCTTTCATCACAATCTATGAGCTCATGTCTTTGAGATTGAAAAGGTGTAAGCAATATTCCACACTCTTCCGCTGGATTTCCGAATACAGCTCCATGCTATCCTGTGTTTTGGCACCCAAACATTCTTCAAACCCCCTTTTGTCTTGTTCTGATTTTATAGCCGGATTTTCACCGCCAGCTTCACCGAGGTTTGAGCGGAATATCCCAGCCGCGGAAAAAGGGAGGAAATCTTCATAGGTCACCGGCTTGAATTCCACAAGCTCTTGGCGCAGCAACTCATCTATCGATGTTGGAAAAACAGCAATTTTTTCTGATAGAAGTGTGAGTGCTTTACTGGTTGGCTTATAGTAGCAGAATATAAGCTCCTGATCTCGAAGGGTATCTTTATCATCCGGAAATGCGGCAAACACATCTGCTAGAACTTTGTCATAGGCCGGTGCTCCAAGTTCCAAACCTTTTGTTCTATCATTTACTTCCATAAGAAGAGTGTCGTACAACTGCCGACCCTTATATGTCAATGCGGCACCCCGTTGTTCAATCTCGCCAAATCTTGCGGTATGAATACCTTGCACCATTCCGCTCTCAAAGGAGTGGAAGTATACTTTCTCATGGATTGCTTTAAAGCTTGTTTGCCTGAGAAGTATCCCATTTTTCCGAGACGGGGGACCTTCTATCCTTTCCTTGACCTCCAACCCTCGTAATTTCATGGCTATTTGAGCCTGGTCAATATCCAGAGTCCTGGGTGTGAGATGGTTGATATGAGCACTTCGGAAAGATGCAATGTCTGCTAGAAGAGGGTGTTCATCCCTGAGCTGCAAATATTCGTCCTGACTTGTTACAGCAGTTTCGTGCCAACGAAATACTTCCAGTGTCTCCTCGATAAACTCGTCCACCACGTCAGGTACAATCCCTCCTTTTATTTCCGCCTCATCAAGAAGGTCTAGGAGACGACTGGAGAAAATCCTTCGCTTTCTCAGTATGGCCTGGGACAGATGTCGAGCCTCTTTTCTTAGCAAATCGGGCCTCAGAAGTGTCGTGAAAACTCGAAAGGGGTTCTTTTCGAGCGCCTCGGCATCAATGGGCCTGAATGCGGTTGCATGTAAAGGCAATCCGGCGACACTAAGGTCGTAATATCCCACGGGATACATGCCAAACTGAGAGAATAATCGTCTAATCGTTGAAAGCTCAAAAGAAGTCCCAAGGCGAACGGCTCCATGTCGCTCGAGCGTGAGTCTGTCAGTATCTTTGGTATCTGGACCACTGGTTCCCTCTCTTGTATTTGATTGATCTTGAGATGCTAATTTTGCGTTGACTTCAGTCACAATATCGATCAAGTCGGCATATGAAGGCACTTCATTCTTATACATATCCGACATCGCCTTAGAAAACCTAGTACGCAATGCGTCTCGGTCACATAATGTTGTACCCATATCTTCAGTATTCGTTATTTCTGGTTCCACTCCTTGTGGTTATTTCGTGTCTGATCCTTTGGAAGCCCAGGTATATATAATCAAGGCTACAGCACAAACAGTAACTATATGACTGTAATATATACCCGGTACGAAGCGGTGAAGCGGGAGACTTCTCCACTCACATTTAATATTTTGGATGAAACATGTTGATTAACGAACAAACTCCGAATTCTTGTACCCTATATTGTAGGGAGCCAATCACCGGATGTTCATATTCGTGTTCGGAGTTCCATTCTCTCCATGTTGTTCCTAGCCGGAATAATTTGCACTGCTTCCTAGTTATTGTAACAAACAAAAATTAATAATAATAAAAAAGAGTCTTGGAAAGAGCAGAAACCCCGAAGATCATAATGCTAATTACTGTTGTCTACAAGAGTCTGACGAGGGCCAAATGAAAGCTGTCCGGACATACCAAATCATGGGTGGGTATACGGCCAATCATCATAATGCCGAGGGGCAGGTGAGGTGTCGGCAAGTTTGCCGAGAGCCGAAAGATTGTACCGGTCGACAACCTCTTTCTCCCTCGTATATAAAGGCGATTATTCAATATTCTTTTTGTCCATGAAAATGTGTTAAAATATTAATGGACATGACTAGCATGAACAGTATGAACAGTATATCTTTCACATAAGTTATTGGGCGAGGAAATACTAGATGTAATAACACGGGGGAAAGCCTAGCTAATTCCCACAAAGGCCAGGTACCAACCTTGCCTTTTCACCAACGAGGCCATCAAAATATGACAACAGAGTTGGGACAGGGACCATATCCAATAGACCAAGATCCGGGTGGGAGCTGCGCATGACCTGGCCACTGAACAAAACACGTACAAAGTACTCTTTCTCACGGCCCCACGTATCCTTTTTCTTGGAGTAGAGTTCGAACACAATCTCGGAGCCCATGCCGGGCCAAACCATAACATCCAGCTGGAGAATTGATAGAAGCCTTGAAACACTTCCATCATGGGCGACGTTGTGTCTATAGAGCATCTTTCCATCCTTTCCAGCTACCTGGTCACGAAGATGCTGGGCAAGTTCTGCGATCCAGACACCTAAGCTAGATGTGCTAGCAGGGAGAGAGCTTTTGGAGTCGCGATACATGTAAGAATACTCGAACTGGCCCAGTCGAAAGACCTTATCAGCCTGAGCCCGAGTAATACATTTCGAGGTGTCATTGATATTGCATGGCAACGGCTTGGCGTGACAGAGACGAGCTGACAAATTATCAAAATAGTGGTCGAAACTGGAGTGCCATCCGGAGTCGGATGGAGAGACGCCAGAAATAGTATCTAATTCTGCCACAAACTCCTTTGTGCGGGCTAGATGGTCAGCCCACGGTGTGTTGGGGGCATCCTTCGCATCTGAAAAGAGAGCACTCGATTTTGGACAAGAATATTTAGGTTCAAGTGAGTCCGTTTGTGGGGACTTGAAAGATATTATTAGCTGCGATAACAAATTGCGAGTGCCTATAGAATTGGTAACATACCTCAATGCTGAGAGGTACATCTCCTCTGATGCCGTACATTCCATTGATAAGCATTCCTGCAACTTGGCTAGTGATCATGTTGTTGGTCACACGAAACGAGACTTTGCTTTGGTCCAATTGAGGTGGGAGAAAATGTAGGAGCTTATGGTAAACTGCAAATAAATCACGCCCATGCTGCCACGAATCATCGAGACCTTCCTTTGAAATTTGGGGAAAGCTGCATGATCCTTTAAATCCCGAAGGCCGGAAGGGATTTATTGGGTTCTGATAACCCTTCCAATAGGATTTGGCACTGTTTCGGCCATTCTTTGGCTCACCGTAGTAAAACAAGCCTTCATCGTCACAGTCCCAAGGGTAAGATTCTTGAGGGAAGGTGTTGGACTGATAAGGAGTACGCTTATGGTGTCGGTGTATCTATGAACTATTTTAGCTACTGTCAACGTTAACATTGTCGATGCTTTCCTGGAGACATACAACTTCTACGTATTGCAACTTGTATTCCTTTGGGGCTTTTGGGTATTCTCTGGGCCGGGCATGTGGCATATTACACCAATTGTATTTGCCATACTCCTTGTCCGGTGTTTGAGAGGAGTCGAAGATGAAGCCATAAACACCGTCGTTATCCAAGACCTTGTCAAGGTTGTTGATATCGGTAGCATTGGGAGCATGCCATGAACCGTCCACGGCTAATGCTTGCTGGACTCCAAGTAGTGCGAGAAGTGCCAAAGGTGAATTGATGCCCGGCATTTTGTCAGTGCCAGCTGCTGCCAAGTTTGAAAATATTCCCGTATATCCTCCAACTTGGGCGTAAACCAACGTTATAGTGAATACCAACAAGATAAAACAACCGAGACGACCATTCCAGGGAGGGAAGCATTCAGCTATATATACACACACGCACGCCATACAGGGATGCCACTCTCCCCATATTGAAGCCCCGAGTTAGCCTTTATGTAACACTCATGCCGAGCGTAGCTCGAAGAGAAAGAGGAAGAGCAGAGAGGAAGAGAGCTCCCTGTTTAGGACTAGGGCCGGGGCCATGGGGCGCCACGTGCGCTTCTCTTTCGACTGCGATTTAGCAAGATTATTGCCAGCGGCAGGAAAACGAGCGGAGTGATTCGGAGTACGAGAAAGTCGCAATTAATTCGTGCATTGAAGCTGGCCCGGAGATGAAGGCGACTTTTCGCTCGAGGTCCCCAGAGAGGCTTGCTTGATCAAGACGCCGCCGCAGAACGCTTCGGCATCAGAAGGGTCATGGTTACATAAGCAGAGGCTCCAGAAGAATCACGTGGTGATAAGCAAACCCATCCGCGATAAGCTTAAACGCGAACATCGCGTTTTGCTCAAATCTAAATTGAACTCGACTCCAATCTAGGCACAAGACGACGTTGAATACACAAGATACCAGGTTGCATATCTCGAACATGGCACACGCAGAATCATCTACTGCTGCTGCCAATAAAATTGCCCGCGCCGACGTTTCTGGTGCTCCGGTCAATTATGAATTACCCTGGTAAGGGAGCTTATGAAGGAGTTTCAAGGGGAATGAGGAAAAGCTGTGATAGAATGGCTGACGGGTTGCGGCGTTGATAGGGTTGAAAAATATCGACCAATTTTTCTAGACGATGTTGTGGGTAATACTGAAACGATAGAACGGCTAAAGATTATCGCTCGCGATGGAAACATGCCCCATGTCATTATTTCTGGCATGCCTGGAATAGGAAAGACAACCTCGATTCTCTGCTTAGCAAGACAATTGTTAGGCGATACATATAAGGAGGCCGTACTAGAGCTCAATGCCAGTGATGAACGAGGTTTGCTAAACTATGCTCTGAATTTGTTCCGTAAGGTTAATTAATGGCATAGGCATCGATGTTGTCCGTAACAGAATAAAAGGATTCGCACAGAAGAAAGTCACATTACCCCCTGGCAGACATAAGCTTGTCATTCTTGATGAAGCAGACAGGTGAGCTGAAAAGCTGATATTATGATAAAGTGTTACTCGCATGCAGAAGCTCTCGTACCTAACGTCTTGTTAGTATGACATCTGGCGCTCAGCAAGCCCTTCGACGTACTATGGAGATATTTTCGACTACAACTCGGTTTGCATTTGCATGTAATCAATCTAACAAGATTATTGAACCTCTACAATCTCGTTGTGCGATTCTCAGGTACTCGCGCTTAACAGATGCCCAGGTTGTGAAGCGGTTGATGCAGATATGTGAAGCCGAGAAAGTTAAATATTCTGATGACGGAATTGCTGCACTGGTGTTCAGCGCAGAAGGTGATATGCGACAGGCAATCAACAATTTGCAGAGTACATGGGCTGGATTTGGCTTTGTGAGCGGTGATAATGTTTTCAGGGTTGTAGATAGCCCACACCCAGTCAAAGTGCAGGCAATGATCAAAGCATGCTGGGAAGGAAAAGTTGATATTGCCCTGGATACTCTGAATGAGTTGTGGTGCGTGTTATGAACCTTTATTTCTTATACAATGTCCCTTGCTGACTTCGTTACTTAGGGAACTTGGGTACTCTGCTCATGATATCATATCAACCATGTTTCGAGTAACTAAAACTATACCCAATCTCTCTGAACATTCAAAATTGGAGTTCATCAAGGAAATTGGATTTACCCACATGCGAATTCTAGAAGGACTACAAACCCTGGTGCAACTCAGTGGGTGTATTGCCAAATTATGCAAAATCAACATGAAACCAGAGCTGTTCAAAGCTCAGAAGTCATGATAACTACATATTATAGATAGTACCATGCAACAAGTTCAACCCAATCGTTCCTAGATCAAGTGTATGCTATATACTGACAGTTAAGCCCCTATAATTGATCACCGAAGGGTGAAGTTAAAGTTAAAGTGAGTCGGTGCATTTTTATTTTTATTTTTTATATCGAGATCCTAAAAAGCTCTCGGCTATTAATTTCATCGAGGGCTCTTTCCTATTAGGTAGAGCGTCTAGCGTTTCCTAATGATACATCTAGGGTAAATCATTATTGGCTAGATAGGAGGGAAAGCACCACAAAAGCCACAATGGAGCAGACTAGGCAGTTTGCTGGCTCTCTTGCAGCCTAGATATTCCGCCGACCACTGAATATGAAAACACAACATGTGTTTAGAATATGGCCTAGTCACAGTTAAGGATATCGTTCACCAAATCCCCTGCCACTGAAAGGTTGACTAGCGTGATGTTCGACAGGCGAATTTGAAATCTTGCTCGTAGTACCTTCTATCGCCGACTAACATTCAAATGCGTGACTGAGGGTTAGCCACAGTTTTTATGTGTTGCTCGGACAGCATAAAGCCAACTATGTGACTTTGGGGCCCATACTATGGTTACTTTGAATGGTTTTCTCGATGGAGAGAGTGGTAGCATCCAAACGGTCGTTGGATGCAGAGACCTTGGACGTGAAAATGTCAGGTAACAAGTCCCAGAGCCCACCTTATCTTTTCTTCTGAAGAAGGCTGGTTCCTTCAGTCTCTTTGAGACCGGCAAGGACTTTTTCTCTCTCCAAAAGTTTTGCCTTTTCATCCTTCAAAATCTTTTCCACTGTTTTTGTTGCTTCTATTATCCGGTCGACTTCCTTTGCTTCCGACTTTCGACTGTAGGGATTCTTAGGGCTGTCCGTATGAGGAATTTCAGCAGTTCTTCTACCTAGTGCCGTGGGCGGCAACTGGGCTTGCTTTCCCTTCGTCGACTTTCCTTTCGTTTGTTGCTGCGCAACACCAGTACCACCAGTGAGCAAGTCGTAAAATTGTTCAACCGGTTCATTAAATAACACCTCCTCATAGTTTTGGCTGACCACAGTTTCCCTTCTTGCCTTTTTCCCTTCAACATCAGAGCCATATGGATGAAGCTTCAGTCCATGCCATAGCGTTTGTGGTTTTTCCATTGACTCTGGCACGAAATATAGCTTAATTTGTATCTCAAATTCACCCCATCCGGTCTCGGTTACTTCGAAAGGTGGTGCTTCTATTGTTCGGACGGATTGCGCATAAGTTTCGTGTAGCTTGAATTGCACCTTCTTCAGCCAGTATGAAATATCTTCGCCATTAATGCCTCTAACGAACACACGCCATTGGTGAGTGTGGTCTTCCGCAGCGCCTTCGGGTCGTTTGTTAGGGTCAAACGGGTATGCCTCGCTTCCGAATACTACATTACGCGATATTTCAAATTAGCAACCTTGGTGTCAGTTATTCGATGGAGGGCGAGTGCGTTCGCAATTTGCCATACCAAAAGGACGGAATATTTGGGTTCCCTAGACATCCATGGTTAGAGTAAATATACATTAATATGTATATATCGTGATTCATAAAGTACTTACCCGAACGCGTTTCGTACCTGCTGGCGCGGGCATTTTTGCTTAAGTACCCTCTGAGCTCTGCTGTTTGAAATACTGGCAAGTTTGGCCGTGCTGATATTTGTAGTAGCGAAGGTCTTATAAAAAGGTGATTAGATAAGCCGTGAGCTTCCATGTCCAAGGTTATCCGGATCACGTTATGCGATAAGCTCCCAGCTCCAAAGGCAGTTTTTGTTTTGGGAGCTCCAAAGGAAGACAAGAGAAATGCAATAATAGCTCTCAACCGTGAGATTCTGGAGAGCCAGGCTTGTTTTATTTCATTTTGCTGAAGCGTGGGACCCTACTATGACGGCAACAGCGGCTGTGGCTAAGAGAATTGTTGTAGCTGGAGGGAGCGGCTTTCTTGGTAAGATAACCCTGATCTATAAACAATATTCCATGGCATCGGAATAGTGCGGAAACTCAGGTCTAATACCTTATATCGCGTCCTTAGGAGCGAGAATATGCCAATCAGCTATAGCTAGGGGGTGGGAAGTTGTGTCATTAAGGTGTGCTTCACCCAGCAGTGCTTCCACTGAAGCAGCTTTCCATACTTTCGCTGGCTAACTGATATATATAACATAGTCGTCACGGAGAACCGAAATGGGATACAGTTAGCCCTTCGGGCCAGGCTCCAAGATGGGCACAAAAGGTTGAATGGGCAAAAGCAGATCTCCTAGACCCCAGTTCGTACAAGGAGCATCTTAAGAATGCCTCTGCTGTTGTACATTCGATGGGAATTATTCTGGAGGCAGACTATAAGGGCATATTACAAGGAAATGAGTCTCCTATTACCGGGATACAGAAGATGGTTGGGTCCTTTGCAGGTGTAACAACTGGCCCAGGCAAAGGACAAATGACATATCGAACAATGAATACGGAATCAGGTAAGGGAACCCTGGCCAATTTATCAATGAAAGATAGCTAATTCCATCGCTTTGACAGCTATCTCGCTTGCCAAAAAGACAACCGAGGAAAATATCCCAACGTTTGTCTATATATCAGCGTCCTCTGGAGCCCCGATCATACCGCAAGGGTATATATTGTCCAAGAGGGAAGCAGAGTCATCTATTATGTCCATGTTTCCAAATCTGCGGAGTATATTTGTGAGGCCGACCTTCATGTACGACTCATCTCGCAGGCTATCTTTACCCATAGCGGTGGGAGGTATGATAGCTTCGGAGGTTAATTTGTTAACTGGCGGAAAGCTCTCGGCCTTGGGATCGATGGCAGAAAAGCCTCTCAAAGTCAGCGTCGTTGGTGAAGCCGTGGTTGAGTCAATCGATGACAGTGATGTGGATGGCGTCGTTAGCCCGAAGAAGATTGAAGACCTAGCAACCAAAGGCTGGAGGAAAACGATGCTTTGAACGTAGCATCATTCTGTGGGTTACCACATCCCGCTGGCCCATATCTACCCTCTGTAGACTATTATTGACTGCTAAATAAGGTCGGTATTGTAAAATATTAACTGCATCGCTTATTCGGTTTAGTTATATCATCGTCCCTCTTTCGAAGCTGTCACGAATTTCGGCGGTGTACTATCAAGGTTTGATTAGTATACACTCTTTGTGTATGCCCCAAAAAATTAACAGCTTGAATGCATACCTTATTGTAAAACCTCGCCAATTTCTGGTTGAAACGCTTGTTCTTGTCATTGATATAGGTAACGTCAGCATCATCATCGCCCTGACCACGTTCCCTACGCTTCTTAAGACGAGTTTCCTCCGCCTTCTGCATGTCAGCGACTAGCCTGTCAATAGCGGCCCTGTCTGGCCTATTCTCCACGAAGTCTGTTGAATCAGCAGTGGAGTAAAATGACCCGTTTTTGTCGATAGCAACGATGTCTCCATTCTCATCTTCAATTATTTCCAGCCCACCATTGGCAGCTGCACGCTGCACTGCCGCTGCCTTCTCGTTTTCATATGCCTCCAGGTCTGGCTGCATACGTCGAAGCTGTCTCTTATAGTTCTTGTGGGCATCCTGACGGTAATCCTGAAATGCAACATTGTCCCGGTGTTTTTGTTTCTTATCCATTCTCCGATCCCACTTCTCAGACTCCTCAGCAGTCCAGTCCCAGGCACGTTTCCGTTCGAAATCTTCACCAGCAGCTTCTATGTCCGCTTTTAGCAAGCTGTGGGATGCAAAGGCATGCTTGCGCGATATGGAAGATAGAGCGTTGGGGTCGACAGATAAACGATGTGCTTCTGCCGCAGTCTCCTTTAAATTATTTTTCACTGCCGTTTTCTGTTGACTCGGTTAGTACTTATTGAGATGGGAGACACCACCGACGAGGTTTCCTTACTGCTCTTGCCTGGAGGGCCTTGAATCTCTGAAGTCTGTCTTGGTTTTTCGATGTCGTATCTTCGGCTTCGGCCTTGTTTGCTATCGACTTCTCAGACTCAGTCTCTGAAGAGCTCTTTTTAGATGAATGTTCAAGATCATTCTTTTGTTTCTCAGCTTTATCTTCTTGATGTGAGGTTGTGGCACTGTCGGTAGGTTTCGCCGTATCGGCGGCTTCGGCTTCGGTAGGCATTATCGCGTGCTGTGCACTTTTACGATTCTGTGAATATCGGCAAAGTGGGTTCTGGAGAGAGGTTGGAGGCGTGTTCGACAGATGTAGGTAAGTAAGGATTTTGGTTGAAGAGAGAGACGAAGTTCAAAAGATTAGTAGGCTACCGGTGATTACGTAATTACTGACGTCTATTTCTCTTTTGAAGAACCAAAAGGAAGAACTGATCAAATTGGTATCAACCCGCAAGCAACGCATGGAGTGAGCTGACTCTTGTCTCAATGCGCTCTTTGACGCTTGATGGCTGTCGGCTTATGACAGAGTGCTGCGGCCTGCTATCATCTTCACAATTTGTCACGTTACGGAGATATTCGCAAAGCTTGCCGGCACAGTCTCTATTCCAACCGTCCCAGGCACAGCTCCTTCGCTTCGCCATCACCGGCACAACATGCAGCGGACCCGGAGATACGCTCGATAAGAAACTAGATGAACGCTTGACATCTCATTTTCAGAAAAACCGGCTACCCAAAAGACCAAGCACCATTGATCGTCTTTCACCACCACTACCCAAGCTTCCGAAAGGCCATGGACTCTCAAGATTGCAAGCGAACGTTGAGACGTTTATCAATTCTGAAAATTCAGGGGCTAATTTGCTAAATTCGATTCAATCACTTGAAAATGCCTTGGATCAGTGTCACACCAGGGTGGAGGGGGAAGATTTACTTATGACAATAAATGGCCTCCTGGCAAGGTTAAATCAGTTGGGGGTCAAAGATACACACCAGTTACTCCTTCTGGGTATGAGTTATGCGGCTAAGGACTTTTCATCCGGCTCGTTAGCTTTATACCTACGGAATTATTCAAAGGGAGGCCATGGTACTTTACCACGGTCCATCAGCGTTAACCTCATAGACTCATTGTTGAACGGGTTCAAACGCCGTTATTGGGAGGATCCAAGTATCGATAAATCTGCGATGCTGAGAGTGATCATCGGACCGGGAAATGAACAGACTAGCGCAGACACCTTGCATTCACACTTGGATTTCTCCAGTATTCGAGAGAGCGAGGTCTTACCAAAGTATTTGCAGCTCCTAGGTGAGTTAGGTGGAGAGAAAATGGTTTTTGATCTTTGGCGTCAAGTCCAAGCTGAACTTGAATATGGGCAAACGGCGGCAATAACTGAGAGCGCTATTGCATCAATCGAGGCTTTCTTGACGCTGGGAAATCCGGGTCGTGCTCTCGAAGCTGCTCAACTAGCTTCAAAGTACATTGATTTGAACGAACACCTTCCGGTCCCAACCTGGAAACTTCTTCTAGAGCATGACTCACACGGACTTCTTCGGACTGTAATTGCTCCTGCAACTACTGCTACTTTATTACAACGCGACCTTCATTCTCTCGAGTTAGTACTGGGTGCTACCTGGTTTAACGATGGAGCCGGTCATCACTACCACCCACTTAGCATGGAAGAAATCCACAGTGCTAGTGCTGCTAACGACGGCTACCAGCCCAGCTATAATTCGTCAGGTTACACGTCAAGCGTTAAATTCATACGTCAACTACAGGGCGGAATGCAAACAAATGGCTGTTCAAGATCTCTGGATAACTTATCCGCCATTGCCGACCTTTTAGATGAATATGAAGGAGCTGATATCCCGTTAAAGATGCAACTACTTGAAAATACTGATACCTTGGACTACGCTTGGTTCCCTACCTGTTCACCCGTTGAATTTATTGGTAATCGTCCTCAGCTAGGACGTGATATAGGCCAACCATTGTCCCCAGCATCCCTTGGGCTTATCAGAGTGCATGTTGACGGGAACGGCGTGCCCATACGGAGCCTTGGTAATGTGTCTCTAATGCAGCTGGGATATATTGGCGTTCGAGCATCTACGGCGAACGCCGCCGGCTTGGGTGATTCTATAGAGAGATGGAGGTGTACCGGGCACATAATCGCCTGGGATCGACAGAGCGGAAAAGTGGTAGCATTGTGGATTGGGAAGGGCAACGGCGTCGTTCATCCAGGGTTGGTGAAACCCGCTCCACCGTTGGAGTTTCCATTTATATTTGGAACGGTTACATTCAATGACACCGAAGAGCCCGTTTTTTCTCAATGTGACAGTTTAGGGCCTCTCAACAACATACAATCTTACTGGGTCGATGTTGATTCCAGTAGCAACTTGATATAATGAACGAAATCCATCTTAGAGATTTGCTCTGATTCAAGTCACGTTGATGGTTACCCTGGGGATTACGGAGTTAGCTGGGCTTGCCCTTTTATCTATTTTCTTCAGGTACTTGGTCACCGGTAACAGGATGGGAGCTACTAATGGAACTGAACCATATAAACGGCATTTAAGAACCGGAGATACTATATAGTTTTTGTATTTTTATTGTCGTTAATATAAATTATGTACAAATAGATTCGTTGAATTGCCATGGCATAAAGGCCTTGCAGAGATTGAAGATGACGGCTTTACTCCCACAGTGACTAGCAACATACTCCACCCCGTGTGTAAGAGTCTAGCTAGTATGCCTAGATATGTTATTTGAAGGTCCATCTTTAAGTTAGGCGCCAACGCGGCGTGAATGCATAACTAAACACTCGGAGGGTCAATCCTTGGGTACTCGATTTGTGTGGCATCCGATCTTGTCCTAGTAGCAGCCATATTTCTCAGCGCTTGCTCTCTCCCTGCATGCGATGGTCCTGAGAAGTAATGGGCCGGCGGCGAGGGTTAACAAGCTTATGGATGTTTGGCGTGAAGTCCGAGAAAAGCGATGACCCCCAGACCTTATTTGCGTCTGCTATTAGCTGGTCCAGGGTCCATGGATTTACCTTCCTGAGCAATAGATTGCTCTTTCTCTTTGATGGAGGCCCGTCACCAAAGAGTATGGCAAATCGTGTACGACACACTCGCCGGACAGTATTGGTGTTAATATAGACACCTTTCTCCTTCAGCCGCCTCAGCAGGATCAGCCCGCAGACCCACAGGGCGACAGAATCAGGTGTTGGTCCGAATGGATTCAGAGTCGAAGAACCAGAGAAGTTAAATTTTGGCTTGCGTAAGAAGCCACAGTTGATAATTGCTTGCTGAAAATCCACACTGAAGATGATGCGTAATGGGGACTGTGGGTGGGTGGGAGGTAGGCGGATGTTAGGTATTTGTGAGTTTTGGGTGTGATTATGAGGTGAATAAGTTTCGGCAAGCCAAAGACATAGTCTTTCAAGTTCGGACCACCGGTTGCTAATAATGAGTTGCTTGAGGCCAGCTTCCCATGATTCAGGAGGAATGTAGCCGCCATACTTTATAACATATTGGAAAATTCCAAACAGGCGTAAGACGGCATCCCTTGCAGGTCTGTCCAGGATGGGGCGTGTTCCCATACGGCGAGATGGAAGTATATTCCAAATCATCCATTTTATGGTTTTTCTGGACGGTGAAATGCGGTCAGCTTTCATTTTTTCGAGTATCTCAGAGATAAGCCTCCTATCGTCGAGTTTTAGTGCATTCCGAAGTTGTATATTGTAGCAATGAGGATCTTCGGGAGACAAAAAGGAGAGTATTGTGAGAGTCAAATTCGCCTGGCGCCAGTCGTGCGACATGGAAAAGTGGTGGAAGAGAGATTCTTGTGTTTCTAGAGACTCTAAGGCATCTGGATGTTGATCACTATGGATTAGATCGTAGAGAGCTTGGTGATCTTTCCGGGCAATGAAATAATCAACAGCTTTGGCAAACACTGAATTTCCAGTAGATATGCCTATCTCTTTCAGCTGAGAAATTTGATATTGCAGCTCAGCAATATCCACAGCCTTTAGTGCCATTTGCTGGAGCGTTAAAGGGCCAATGGCTCCAACACCAAACATTTTGAGACCCCCAAGGATCAAGTCGAATGTGAAGGTTTTTGTAGCAAAGAGTCGAGCTCCGAGATCGTCTTTTACCATCGAGGATTGTGTGCCAGTTGTATTAGAGGTGGCTGAGCAAATCTGTGAGGAATGGGATGAGAAGCTGTCAATCGAAGTACCAACAGGCAGAGTGCCGGATTTGACAAGCCCAGTAAGAAATTGAGACTGTTGCTGCGGATTGCTGTATTTTTGCACATGTTGGATTAGTGGCAGAACATCATCAATGGATGACGGAAAATCCCCACGTCGCATTAAAAAATGATGCATGGCAAGAGCCAATTCAACGCTCTTATGTTTGCAAAGAATCGGCACCACAAATGAGTATATTCTATGGCCCTCGGACAGTTGGCATAGACGACGGAAGGTATCCAGGCCCTCTCCGGTGGACATTGCAGTTTTGAAAACACATAGGATACCTTCCGGGTTATCCAAGTGGGTGTGTTTTAGCGCTTGATGCCACAGTAGAGCCTTCGACTGATTTCCTGCTTTCACAAAGGTACCTATAACACGCTCATAAAAGTATTTCCATCTCAACCCTTTCTCTTTCCAAATAAATTCTGCGTGAGATTGGAGCTCTTTTAGCATCCATTCGTGCTTTAGCCCTATGGAGACGAAAGTCTCCCATAGAAAATCAGCATCTTCCCCCTCGGTAGGGAGTCTAATCCCAGAGCATCGCTCAGTCAACCCTTTCCATATCTCAATCACTCCAGTATCTCCATAATGTCGTTGGCGGTACAAGACAAGTTCCCTCCAAAGAGTAAAATTCTGTGAATAGTGGGGATTGTCAACCAATTTGCTCCCTATATTCTCATTATGTCCGAGGTCTGACTCCAGGTCTAATTGCCATGGCTGCAACTTCCAAGTCTGCGAATGCTCGGAAAATTCCAAATGATCAGGCTCCCTGGTAGGTATACTCTGATCCGTGTTTGTAAGACATATCTGCGTCCCCCGAGGCTGCGGAAAGTAATTTGTGAGCGGGTTACGGGAGTCTTCGTTTGACCGGCGGTTGGGTATATTGGGGGTTTCTCGGTTGGTCGCGATGTTGCAATCCTCAGTCTCCGGCTTGACAGATGGATCGGGGGAGTAGGCTATCTGTGAACTCGCTGACGAAAAGGATTTAGGCCCACTGACGAGTCTGCGGCGACGGGCAGCACTAATAACACTGGTGGATATGGGCGGAGCGACAGGCCTTTGGATGTGTCCCGGCAACAACCTGAGCTGCCTCGAGAGCATAAATAGCATTAGGCGGTCGCCGAAAAGCCCCAAGAGGCACGACGGCGGGCATTTATAACCATAGATTTCATCACATATCCGGTCGTCAAGGCCCGTCTCTTGCAATGCCGTCCGGTCAACAGTTCACGCCGAAATTATTAACATTGCCAGTTCGATTTAACGGAACGATCTACTATGGATGGAACGAATCTTCCTCCGACACCGCGACAAGCTCACATCACGTGATTTTCGAACTTCCATTAGGTACCTAGCCCAGGCCAGAACCATACCTTAACATCACGAGAAACATTGTATTTCCTACCGGTTAACAACATAATAGCTACCCCATACGTTGCCTGTAAGTATCAAGTTGAATCTTGCTAATAAAGCTCTTTTTGGCTAGTATATTCTCGCAAATCCCCATAGGAAGGCCTATAATCAGAACGGTAGACATCTCCCACAGCTTATCTTGGGGAGAGTGCTGCATATTACTTTCCAGTATAGACAGGCCAAACTGTCGAAATTACTCTTGAAATTCATGCCACAAACAACCTACACGGGAAATCAACTATGGCCTTTCTCACCTCATTCATCTACAGCTCGATCTGAGGAACTGGGGTTTCTAAAAGTTATGGAGGCTCCCCATTGTCAAGACCAGGCCTTTATAATCTCATGATAGAGGGTATTCTGGTGCGAGAAGGCCTTCATTTACGGAAGAAGAAGTACGACTCTCGTTGTGGTAGCAATATAGAGGCTGAATGGGAGGTTCTCATTAACTCAGCTCTTCACTTGCTGCCTTGGGATTTTGATAAAGCTGAGGGAAGCCAAATCTTCGATTGGAGCTCTCCAGATCCCACTAAGTGCTCCCCATACTCGAGAGTACTGCTCCAACCTACCTTCTCTCAATCTAATATTTAGGTCGATGACAGTTAACCTGACATAGATTGCCGCTCCCGCTCCTGTTAAAGATGGAAAAGAGATTCATTGAACCCATGGTCCCCCAGTTACTCCAAATAATCTTATGTTCTGCCGTACTTATCTTGTTTAAATCTTACCATTAAACTGCAAACAATAAATGACGAGTTACTGAAACAACCGAGGGAATTGAATGATAGTTAACTATGGTCTCATGTTGTGGATTGAATTATGGAGCGCCTACTTAGGTACCTCCCAAGGGCTCGAATATTGTCACGTGATAGCCACGGCGAAAAGGCAAAACATCTCACCACTTTTGGTTCCTCCAACATCACCTCTTGTCCTCAGTTACCCGTCCACTGAACAATTCATCTCGCCCTTGCGTGTTGTGTCGCAATTACTTCGATTCGCGCAGCCATGGTTTCCCGAACGCTCCCTCGTATGGCCGGGTATGTAACTCTTGACGTTTTCCGCGAAAATCTTGCGTTCACGGAAGGAATCTAGCACCCGGCTCAAGTCATTCCAGCTCGCTAACGTGAAGCATTTACTCTTCGTTTAGTTTCGTCTTCCGAGAGAACCGCGTCCCTTACTACCAGCGCCTTTTCCAGAATGGAGACGGCGTTCGTCAATGGAAGAAGGTCCGCTGAGTCTTTTCCGCCCTCCCTCGCTAGCCGGACGGGATTGGGTCATCCAGCATCAGTGACTAACACACGATTCTTCACGGGATAGACTGCTCGAAGCCCATATCTGCTATATCCATTCTACGTATCTCTCTACGGCAGCACCATTGGTATGATTCGCCCAGTCAATTTGCCTGGCTTGATATTTCCTGTCTATGGAGGGATATTTTTCGCTAACATGGACTTCTAGCCACCATGTACGCCATGGGCAGAATCGTTCTTGTGAGTAACATGAAATACCGATTCTCCTTAAATGAGAGCCTCTTTCTCAATGCGTCGGAGCACAGCTTTACCTTGACACATTGGGCGATAAATACTGATATCATAACAGGGACACAAGACATGGTTCTGAGCCAAGACACCAATTCCGACTGCACAAGAAAAATTGAGCTCATAGAGGAGGTGCATGAACTTTAGGTGAATTGGAATGGTGTATATAGTCCTGATAGAGCTCCAAACTACAACTCGCGTTGAACCAGCTCTGACTATCAAAGCCAATTGCAAACCGTTGTATATTTAACATTGCAAGATACTGTCATTTTTATTTTCTGGACTATGGAGAGTGACCCTGCTATCATTCCCTAACCTATAAGCGATGTGAAACACTCGTAATTATTTGCAATTCAACTCAGCATAACCAAATAGTTAGTGCACATGAATTTAGACTGGAACCACGCATGAACGCAGTTTTTCCTCGTATTAACAGGGCATACGCTCCTAAACCTATAAACCGTGAGCATTAATGTGACGATATATTTTATTGAACATCATATGCTCAGCACTAAAAGACACATACTTGTGTGTAGAGGCTATTAGCACAACGGCAGTGATGCTATATAAATTTCAACCCTTTCTTGTCTGTCTCTTCATCTCTCGCTTTTGCTCCCTCTCCTTTTCCTTCGCAAGGAACTTCTTCTGCTCCTCGGCTGACATGTTACGTAGGAGTCGATCACGTTCTTCCTTCTTGATCTTTTCGGCAGCCACTTTTCTTTCTTCAGCTTTTTCATCCTGGTCAACCCGCTTCATCCTTTTAATCTCTTCCTCGCGTGTACTACGGAGTTTGCGGGTTACTTCAGGTCTGAAGTGAGCGATAGTCACCAGGCGATCAGCTAAGCGAATGAAGGCCTTCAGCATATTGGAGGAGGAGGCATAGTCCGAAGCATCCGAAGATTCTGGAATACGCAGAGAGAGAATGATACGCTTTCGGGGAACTGCCTCTTCAACACTATATTGCAAGAAAATGTAAGTATTTGGTCATCAAGGAGTTTACGGGAACAGAGTTAAAGTGACAAATATACGTACGTAGTAGGCTTCTCCATAGGTTGGTCAGTCACAATCAGGTAATCAAACAGATCACCGGCATCCTCAATGGCTTTAACAAACTCAGGAACTAGCATGGAATCGGTAATCTCCGCACTCTCGCTCATAACAGTTAACCAATTGGGAAGTTTAGCGTTCTCCTTGGTGAATGTCAATGAAACATCATATCGGTCTTCCCTTAGACGGCGCATAGCATTCTTGTGCACCACAGCAAAGACGAAGCCGTCATAAGTCGAAGGTCCTGACTTTGAGCGCTTGTCGGCATCAATATCCATTGGCGTGGGTGGAACAAGGTCTTTCTCCCGGCCGTCGAAGGGATATGCAACGATCTCTACCTTTTCAGAAGACGGTGCCATGGAATCGAAAAACAACCCAAGAAGCGTCTCGCCAAACAGCAGCAGAGGATTGTAGCGTTTCAGCATCTTGATCGTGACATCGACGAAGGCAATATTCTGACGGCCAGTAGCGTAAGTAGTGAATTCATTCAAAGCCTTCTCCTTCAGTATCTTATCATCGATCTTAATGCCTTCGTTGGAACTAGCGTTCTGCGGGATTCCAGTATATCCAACAACCGCAAACTCGTCGCAGAGCACTGGGATATTTGCTTGTGCCCATGTCTTTGCCTTGCGCCTGTTTTTACCCGCTCCCCACACATGTAGGACGGCGACCAAAATAATAAAAGGGATGATGAATGCTTCCTGAACAAAGTCCTGTGGCGACGTTCGTTCCCAGACTCGGTACCATTTTGTATAGGCAACAGTGCTGGCGGCAGTACCCTGGGGTCCAGATCCAGTTGCAGATGGAGGCGCAAAGTCCGCAAAGCCTAGGATATGAGTAAATTGTTAGCTCGTAATTTCAAGTAGCCTCATGAGAGAATAATTTGAATTGAACAATATTGGGTCAGCGATGATGGATTGTGAATTTTGCTGTCACCAACCTCCTTCAGCCTTCTGCGGAGCCTCAGTGGCCTTGCCGCCAAAAAGACCCTTAAAGACTCCGTCCATCGTCGGTAACTAGATATCAGGACTGGCCAGGATGGCCTGATAAGTCACTAATCGAGAGCTGCCGTAGAGTTGTTGGTGTTGTGAGTTTGGACAATCACTTGTGTTGTGCCAGTGACGGACTTGGAGTTTACTAACTAACTAACTAGTTAGTTAGTTAACTAAAGCCAAGAAGCTGAACTTTGGCGGATGAAGGCCAACACGAACAACCCCGGGTCGTGTAGCTGTCTGTATTGATATATGCTCCTTTTAATAGGACCAACGGCAGAGGAAAGCGGAGTACGCCATATGAGTTCATGTATGAACTTGAACTTCACACATTTGGGGATCCAAAAATCGCTGTAATTGCTCCCACCAAATTTAAGATCCACACAGTATTGAGCCTCATCGAGACGCATTGGAAGGCCACAGTTTTGTCAAGTCATTGGGAGAAGAACGAATGCGACGAAATAACGTATACAAATCAAAAGTAGAATTGATAGACCGATTCACCCTATTTTATACATGTATCAACCATGAAAACTCAAATTCAACTAGGCGGCCAAAAAGACTGTTTTGCACAACCCTTCCCTGCCTGCCTGCATTGAACATCCGTGAGCCACATATTCAACCAACCAACTCCAGAAGGAAAAGAAAGCTATATACAGCGCCTGCAGAATAGAAGTGGTATCAAGAAAAAGAGCTGTCATCAAACAGGCTGGGCAATAAATGGTAAAAACACAAGGGCGCAAAGCAGGGCAAATAAAAATCACAAGTACAAGAACAAAAGAGAGTCACAAAGGGAATAAAGGTACAATTCCAACCAAGAGACGCTTTGCGAGAAGAAAGCACAAAGACAAAACAAGATTGGGAGTGGCGATTATAATATAGTATAGCAACCCAACTATGTCAAAGGGGACAGCGAGATCACTGTCCGTATGCTGGAGGTGGCGAAGGATCTCGGGTTTGGTGTCTGCAGTAGTTGCTGGCACTGCCCACGCTACCAGGACCTTTGCTTTCTTGGATTCTGCGGTTGATTTCGTTTGCTAACTTCATCATCCAAGCCTGCTCTAAAATGCTTCGGTCCTGACTCGCGGCCACAAATGACAGTACGTTGGGTGGGACCCCATTCAGGGAGGTTGTGTTGTCACTACCTTGCTGATGGGCTTCTAGGGTAGGGGTATTTTGACGAGGAATATGCGAAGGTTCCCCGTTACTAAGAGGCTTCTTTTCACCTTCGGCTGACGGGGTAGGCTGGGCAGTATTAGCACTGACAGATGGGCCTAGTCCTTGCACAGCCGGCACTCGTGAACGATCCTTTACTTTTATAGTAGCATCAGGGGAGATCGGTGGAGTAATAGGATCATCGGGTTTCTCTCCCGCTCTTGCAGAGGATGAAAAAACAGTTGATGCATCAGTAGAGACAGTATATTCGCTCTCAGTGCATGTACTGGAAGTGTCATCAGACTTTTTTGACTTTCGTAAGTCCACAACACGCCGCTTGTGTTTCCTTGAGGGACGTGCTCTTGGGTGGCGGCCAGCGCTAGTCGTGAGAGAACCGTATCCGCTCAGTGGGGAGCCTAGAGATGCTTTACTCATTGACGATTCCTGCAGAGATTGGAGAGACGCAGCATGAGAGTGAGTCCTAGAAAGAGGAGGACTAATGGGGGAGATCAAGCCTCCGTGGTACTCGGATTGTTCCATAGCTCCGGTAAGCGCTCTGAAAACGACGTCATGTATTGTTGGAGTGAATAGTGAAAGTGTCCGTTGAGAGTCCGTTAGCGTGGCAAGTCGGACAAGATTTCTCTGAGAGAATAGAGAGTGCATTTCAACTCCAGAGTCCAGAGACAAAGAAGCTATCTGGGCAACGCTCAAAACATTTCCGGAAGCATCAACAGGGTCTTGGGGTGGGCTAAGTAATGGATCTTGACCTGGGCCCGCTTCTTCGTCAGCCTGTGCTTCGACATCCTGCCCGCGAAACTCTGGCACCCATAGTCGAAGAGATAGTCGGTGGATAATAGCAGGAAGCTCATCCATAAATAATAAGCGAAGCTGACCCTCGATGGTTCGTTGTAAATAGTCTCGAACGAATGGGATAGAATCAAAAGTTGATGACACCTTTAGCGACTCAAGGGGGTCATTTCTAAAGACCAGAGTGATTCCTTTTTGCTTAGAAAAGACCAACACTACAAAGCCAGAAAGTTTGATATCTGACAAAGTTATTTGTAGTGGTATAGTGAGGCCTTGGCTATAGGAGACGTTGTCAGTAAACATTCATATATCGTGAGATCGCATCTAGAAACTGAAACATACTCTGCTGCAAGGGGACATGGAGAAGTAAACGATGGCCGGGTCACCATGTAAGTGTTTAGAGAGTTGGCCTGAACACAAGTTTTCAGAGTGAGATAAGCATCTCCAGAGTAGGACATTTTAAATATTCCGCGGAACCGGTCGTCTGCCAGATCCCCTATCTCAAGAATTTCAAGGTCTGGTGGTATAGATCCCAGATTCAGTTCCGTGACTGTGATGTCGCCCACAATGATCGGAGGTTTCGGCGACTTGTTCAAGGCAGTAGTGAGTAGCTCTTGAGCGCGAGTATAGAATCCAGCATCAGCCATCAGAGGCGACCAGTTAAAATTGAAGGCCATGTTTGGCAACGGACGGCGCGAGCGCCTGGATGAAAACGAGAGAAAACGTTTATATCGATGGCCCCCAGCGAATCTGTGTGTTTATATTTCGCGATAACCGGTAGAGGAGTTTGATCACAATCCGCGGTTGATGGATGGGTCGCGTGCCATGTGATGGTACCTGCTGCAATCCTCTGCGGGTCGTTGGGCGAAACCGGTGCGAGTCGATGGGGAAGAGCACTTAGGGATAAGGCTCGTTACCAGTGAGCTCCTCATTGATGATCCGTGGATTGCATCTCCAGGGCCCTGGAGAGTAAGAGAGATGCGTCGCCTGCTGAAACCTGATGTTCGACTAGAAAAAAATATTCCTTCCGGCGCGGCAGGAATAGGAGAAGCGTCACCTGACTGGTCGTCGGCCATGTCTTCCGGCTTAGTCATTGGCTTATATAAGCTGGACCGTGCGTTTGCCGTGGTAACCGCGGGAGCTAGTCCTCTTTGGGAAATGTATAAATAAAGGTTTATTGCACGCCGAAGAGAGAAACGCTTTTTTGTAAACGACCCAACATCTGAACGAGCCGGCACAGAGAAGACACGCGAACTGCACACTACCAAATATGGTTATATACATTGAAGACCCTGCTGCTGAGATGCAAGCTGATGCCAGTCAACGAACTACCCGCTGCCAAAAAGCTAGACACCCATCCTCGAAGGCTACAAAAGGTGTTCACAGGACGAAAGGCACATATAAAGAGCACGATATTGTGCACGATGGTAGTCTAGCTATTGAAAAGGAATTATCAATAGCGCCTTCTTCTCCAGATGATCCTGAATCACTTATAGCCGCAGTTCGAAACCAGTTGTCGCAAATAACAATCAAGGGGAATCGCTCACAAAGTGTCAGTGGAAAGGAATGCTACCAGGATCCAACTGGAGGGGATACCCACCATACCAATAACACTTCATCAGAAAACATTACCAAGAAGAATATTGCCCAGAAGCCAGGTCCTATTAAATCGATACAACGCCCCCAAGGTGATTTTTCGATACCCTCGAAGCGCTCGGAAGAAAAGGAGGATATCAAGCAGTCAAGATCTCCTGTTACTACGAGGAAAAAGGGGAACACCAAAATACAACAAACATATGTCAATGATAAACAAAGGACTGCTTACGTACAAGCCATCCTGAACGAGGCAATGTCCACAAGATCTTCACGAGGAATACAACATTTTGACAAATGGGCAAACAGGGCCGAAGGTTTCTTCGACGTCAGGAAGATTGCGGAAGGCTCTTACGGAGAGGTATATGAGCTGTGTGCAAAAGATGGAGTATCCAAATCAAGTCTATCAAGTGGTCGATCATCTAAACTACAAACCTATATGGATGGCGTTTTTAAAATTGTGCCATTATGCGCGCAGCGAGGACCAGGTTCAAAGAAATTCACAACAGTGGATGAGATTGTTGCTGAAGTTCAATTACTAAAGCTTCTTGACCCAATTCCAGGATTTGCACGATTTAGGGAGATACACGTGGTTCAGGGCAGGTTTCCCCCGTCTTACCAAAACGCTTGGGATATATATAGTCGAACCAAGGATGATTGTTTCAATCCCGATCCAAGCAAGAAGAGATCATATCCGGACAATCAGCTATGGGCTATACTAGAAATGGAGAACGCTGGTTTTGAACTTGAGAAGTTTAAGTTTTCCTCTGTTTTCCAAGTGTATGACGTGTTCTGGGGTGTGGCTTTGGCTTTGGCAAGAGCGGAACAGTATGCTTCCTTTGAGGTACTAGCTTCCTTGCTATAAATAGAGCTTTTATCCGGAATGAACAGCTAACACTTAACCAGCACCGTGATCTCCATCTTGGAAACGTGTGTGTGAAACAGAAGCAGCCCCCTCTTGTTGAGTGTCAAAAGGGGAGGGCCAAAATGGATACTTCGGAGATTGAACTTTCAGCACGCCTAGGCTTAAGCGGGCTGGAGACCACCATAATTGATTATTCTTTATCTCGCGCAGAGCTTTCGCCTTGTGAGACACAGAACACCAGTTATACCAGGGGATCCGTGGCATGGTCCGATCTCGAGAAGAAGGAAATCTTCGATGCCGTTGGAAGGGACGAAGAGGAAAAATTCCTTCGTGACACCTATCGGATGTAAGTATAGATGCTGATTACATTCTAGGCCGTCGTTGCTAATACTTCCCCTATTAGGATGAGATCAGAGGTCTTTAATGACAGTGACCCCGACACTGAACAGTGGAAAAACTACAGGCCAAGAACTAATCTTATTTGGCTGTCCTTTATTCTAGCAACGCTAGTAAACAAATGTCGTACTGAGAAACTGCTCCCAATACACCGCCAACCTCTTGGACAACGTTCCGCGAATAGCAATCTTGTACCTAGGAAATCAAGCGCCAAGAACAAAGTTGCTGAGGACAACCGGACTGAAGAGCCAAAACTACGCGACGAAATACAGCACGTACTCTTTGAAAGGCTAGAGACCGTTTTGGATCTGCTTGAATTAGAAGATGAATATGAGACTCTGTCTTGTGCTGGGGACCTGGTGGCCATTGCTATCGGTTCTCAATGGCTAGAGGAGTCCGACTTCCTATGCTAGGAGCCGCTACATACCATCGTCTCAACAGTCTTTCATGTCGCATGCATATATATATATACACACGGGGCAAAACTGGTACTGATTACATCCTTTATATATACCCACGTTTTTGTTCTTTTTTAATTTTACCAAGAGTAAAAGATACCATATGTGACATAGCGTTCATAGCCTTATTAAGCCTCGTTTATTACTGTGAGATTGAAATATACATCATCACTCAACCATCACTCATTTAGCCTTCGGTAATTCAATATCCACCAACCACGGTATATGACTAGTGTTCCAACCAAGCCCTTTCATGGACGCGTTTATGACTAGGGTTTGCTGACCGGATTGAATCGGAGTTTCATCATCCGAGCAGTAACTGAGAGTATAGTAACCTTCATCCCGGTGAGACTGCAGCTTGTCCAAGAGGGCCTTCGAATCTCTTGCCCCCATTAGACTATTGATCAAAATTGATTTCTCTTCATCAACAGGTTTAGAATTGGAGAAGAGTGAAAATAAAGAATTCGTATTCCTCCAGGTGACGAGTTTTGCCCCCCAAGCTTCGTGTATGTGCCCAAAACAATGTATCTTCGGTCTTGCCCGAGATACGGCTCCAAGAAGAGACGTGCATCCTGCTTGATGCCCTGAAAAGGCTGTATCAAGTAAACCCTTCGGGGATCCATGGGTCATAGCAATGTCGACTCCCTCCATTTCGAAGTGATGTCCCTGTTGTCGATAGTACTGGAACCCCCAATGCCCATAGACCGGTGTATACGGGCTTGCGTATATGGATAAACAAGCTCCATTCGCTAAATTAAAGTGATGAATCCCTTCATCTAGAAGGATGATGCCAGCATCTTCAAGCAGCTGCCTAGCCTCCCCAAAATCACCACATTCCTTCATCAAACGCGCATGTCGTTCAACGTGTATTTGCTCTAGTTTCGCTTTGTAGAACGGAATATCAAGAGTGAAATCATGATTCCCGGCAATAGCAAGTTTGAGGGGGGCATTTACTTGCTTCAGTAGCTGTGCAGCCGATCGGTATTCTTCCAATGTGGAACGCTCGGTCAAGTCGCCGCAATGTAGGGCTACATCGGCATATTGGCTGGGAGGCGTATATGGCATTGCATGGGTATCAGAAAGTATTAAGATCCTGGTCTTCATCATAGCACTTGAAGATGACATGGATCTATGTTGAGATGGTTGGTGATGGAAAGCTGCTGGCTGAGCTGACAAGTTCGGCGGTTTAAACAGTCGGCTGATGCCTAGCACGAGCTACTCTGACGTAATAGCAATCTATGATACTGCTATTCAAAAACGGAGATCTCGGCGGCATTGATAATCACTAGATATACAGCATTCTAGTATGGGAGATTTTCATATGAGCTATAGATCTCTAGTGAGGTTCTTCGAGCAGCGTTTGAATACCCTTTCTTTGACGCCGACTAAGTCAGCTAGTTATCTAGTTAAGCAACAGCCGCCTTGGTTAGTTAACCAACTTAGTTACATAATCCTACAATTGTTTACACCTGGGCTGCGATTGCTATTCTATAGATACTGAATAGCGAGCGTTCTCTGGCAAGAGGCGTCGAGTCCTCAAAGATGTCCTGCTGGTTTGATCTCCTTGAGCTGGAGGGACTCGCCTCTCCCAGCGGCTTTCTCACACATTCACACTCGACAGAGCTGGCCGCCCAGGTTAGTTAAGAGGACCAGGGAAAGTTAACAGCAGCCATGACAGCTTCACAGGAGAATTCAGTGCTCCGTTCACTGAGAAGCCCAGCAAAGGGGAGCACTAGGTTCCAATGCACGACATGTCTAGAGACGTTCCGCCGGGCAGACCATCTTCTGCGGCATGGAGTCATGCGTGAGTATAAACGAGCAGAGTGAACAAGCAAACGTTCGCCAACAGAGTTCCATGCTGACATGCGTTTCAGATAGAGGAAAAGGAAAGTCATTCCCTTGCTTCGAGTGCTGCCGTGCTTTTGACGAGAGGTATGATGGCATATCAGTCCAAAAGACAATTGCCTTCAAAAGAATACCGCAGCTAACGGGGTTTCAAAATACAAAAAGGGCCGAGCTGGCAAGCCATGTTCACTCAGCACACCCAGTGCCTCCATCTTCTAGAAAGAAACGGCCTGCCACAGCTGTTACGCCGTTGCAAGTCTCGAATTCAAATAGACAGGGAGACTCTATGGCGGGAGCTGCCATCGAAGCGCCGTCCCACGGACATCCGCCTACAGTGGCAGGGCAGGCGCTTGCTGATATCTCAGGGGGAATTAACCAGCAACATGCTCCGGGGATAACAATGTGTGATGGTTATCACAACTCAACACAGGAGCCCAGCCACCTCTGGCTGGCACCGACAGTGACAACCAAGGAGCAATCTCCAGCCTCCAGGAGCCCCTTGTCTAAGCATCACTGCTCATCACAACCGTAATCCTTCATAGGCAACTCTGCATGACCAACCACGAAGGGAGCAATCTGGTAGAACAAGAGGAACAATTTCTTCCGCAAGCCTTTTCTGAATGCTACCATGGATATCGGCTAATATCCCGATCTTAGGAGCGGTTCGCTCATGATAATGGCATTGAAATCAGTTCACATACCAGTAGTAGCAGTAGTAATGGCTGACGTTGTGCTGATATCGCAGTGTTTTCTTCCTGTTATCATAGTCAATCCATACTTAACTAGTTTGCTTCATGTGACTCGACTTAGTTAACTAGGCGCCAACCGCGTCACGCTTTAACTAGTTAGTTAACTTTACACTTCTTGTCAAAGTGCAACAGCCAGCTGATGACTGCCAGGCCTCGACATCCCGCCGGGCAGAGACAGGATGGGCTTAACACCATTTGGCAGACTTGCAAGCGCGGCTTGACCCGTCGGACTAGACGTTTTGCTTATATCCCGCCGCTTGACCAGCTACCTAGCTAGTAAGTTACCTCGTAACTTGCTGCAACCCCGAGAACATAGACGCTCCACCATCATGTCCCGAGACAGGCTCAACCGGTTCTTTGGCCAGAGAGACAGCCAGCAGCAGGCGTACAGACGAATAGATGGAGACGACAGAGATACCGCTGAGGGGGAAGCCGAGGTGCCTGCGTACGATGCTCCGCCTGTCAAGGAGCTTTCGTGGGTAGTTTATTCTATCTTTACCTGGATGGGGATGGCCATGCTATGGGGATGGTAAGCTCCCTTTGGAACCACAGGCTTTCTCTGGTAGATTTACCAGGCTTATAAAGTGCAGTTACGTGGCTAACATTGGTAATGTTAATGAATCTACAGGAATTCGTTCCTTGCCGCAGCACCGTACTTTCAAATCCGGTTTGCCAGCAATGAATGGCTTCGGGACAACTCACAATCCTCAATAACTTCGGTGTTCTGCGTTACGGGCCTGTCTACACATCTGTTCCTGCTGAGACTCCAGAAAAATGCATCTTACCCGCAGAGAGTCCTTGTCTCACTCGCTCTCACCGGATTCGTGTTTGCACTGCTCACGCTCTCCACTATTCCTAAACAAGGACCATCTCCTAATGTCCTTTTTGCGTTTGTCCTTTTCATGGTATTTATATGTGCGCTGTCGGCATCGATGAACCAGAATGGATTGTTCGCATACGTATCTGGCTTTTCCCAGCCAGCGTATACGCAGGCAATTCTGGCGGGACAGGCACTCTCCGGTGTCCTGCCTTCCATAGTACAACTTATCTCGGTCCTTGCAGTGCCAGACTCTACTGTACACGAAACAGGCGAGCTAGAAAACGCAGCAAAATCGGCTTTTGGATTTTTCCTGACCGCAACACTGGTCTGCGGAGGTGCTTTCCTCGCTTTCCTTTACCTTCATCATTCCCAGGCTAGGCGTGCTCGCTATACCCCAGATGAAGACACTGATGCCTCAGAGTCGGACATGCTGTCAACTAAGACGGCGGTTTCATTGTTGACACTGTTCCGAAAGACCAGGTGGCTATCTCTGGCGATATTTCTCTGCTTCTGTATTACCATGGCCTTCCCCGTGTTTGCATCTCAGATCCAGAGTGTTAGTAAAGAAAACCCTCCGCCTCGTTATTCACAACCTGGCGTATTCGTTGCCCTTGCCCTTCTGTTTTGGAACTCAGGCGACTTGCTCGGGCGAATGACTCTCTTGATCCCGTCTGTAAAGGACAGGAAACCTCCGCAGTTCGTCCTTTTTGTCCTCGCGCTAGCTCGCATCTTTTTCATCCCATTGTTCTTGATGTGTAATGTCCGAGGGAGAGGGGCGGCAATCAATAGCGACTTCTTCTATCTCGTCTTTGTCCAGGGTCTGTTCGGGCTAACAAATGGCTACGTCTGTGTTTCTATCATGGTTAGTGCCCCGGATCTGGTAGACGAGGAAGAGAGGGAGGCAGCTGGCGCATACATGGGCATGTTGATAGTGGCAGGCTTAGCAGCCGGTAGCGTTCTAAGTTTTTTTATCGGAGCCCTATGATATTATTGATCGGTGCAGGATACTCGAGGTAGATAGTTCATTTGCAGCACTGATTTCAGTAGCGCAGATCTATTACATTTCCTATCAATAGAAAATGCCATAATCAAGTGATATATGCATGGCACTTATGCTCTATTTTTTGCCCCTTAAGTGATAAGTGAATATAACCTAATGATGCTGGTAAGATGGAAGAAGCCTGAAACAAGGGAGAGAAATAGAGGTGACCAAAGAAAAGTCTATAGTAGCAACAAGACGATATGTCTAGGTGTTAAAAGTACATCTATGTATATAATCTATACAGTGAGAATATAGGTATTAGCAAAGGGGAGGGTCTGGATATAGATCGTTGAGGATTAATTCATATGGTTTTAATCGAGACACAGCACACTTCTAGAGTGGGGTTGCGTTATTGGATATGATAACGCGGGCAGTCGACCGGGAATATAGCCTGGGTAACAGATAAAAAAAAGAATCAAAGAGCAGGGGTTATAAATTTGGCTTCGCGAAAGGGTTATTGGCGGTTCAAGAGAAGGAATCTATTTCTTTTCAATTTCATCAGTGGGCCTTGGCTCGTCTTCAGTCTCGGCTTCATCGTACTCCTCGTCTTCACCTTCTTGTAGCAATTGCTGTAGATGCTCTGTTTCTGATGGCGGCCCTCGAGAGATTGGCTTGTTGGGGTGGGCGGGAGCAGCAATTCCTTCGCCGCCGCTGAGCTGCCAGGCCATCAGCTTGGTAAAGGCACCATCTGGTCTTGAATTGAGATCATTGTAAGATCCCATTTCAGCAACTTTGCCCTCCGAGTCAAGAACGATGATGGTGTCAGATCGTTTGATGGTGGATAATCGATGGGCTATGCTGATAGTGGTGTTGTTCTCACGGAGCAGAGCTGCAAGAGCACTGTTAACGAGGGTTTCGGACTCGGCATCGAGCGCAGAGGTAGCTTCATCGAGAATGAGGATATCCGGCTCCTTGATAAGAGCACGAGCGATGGCAATTCTCTGTTTTTGGCCACCGGACAGTTGTGCTCCTTTGGGGCCAACATTGGTATCCAAACCATCAGGCTAGGGGAATGGTATGTTAGCGCTAATATTTCTGTGATTAAATCGATATACCATGCGGGTTTAACTTACGAAGTCGCTGATGAACTGGCAGTTTGCCTTGCGGGCAGCAGCGATTATCTGAGATCTTGTTGCATCAGGTTTTCCATAGCTGATATTCTCCGCAATGGAGCCAGAGAACAACACTGGCTCTTGGGCAACGATTCCTATCTTCCTTCGGAGAGACTTTGCGTTCATGGTTGCAACATCTTTGCCGTTGATGAAGACTTGGCCCTGAGTTGGGCTGTAGAAACGAAGTAGCAATGACGCAATGGTGGATTTTCCACCACCTGAGGGTCCAACAATAGCCACATTGCTACCCTGCGGTATCTCAAAATCCAGATCTTTGAAAATGGTGACAGCTGGTCGAGTAGGATAGCTAAAGGCAACATTTTTGAATCTGATAGGCCCACGAGCTGAGGTAACCTTGTCACCCACGGTAGGGGATATCTTAGGTCTGCGGTCTTGTAATTCGAACAGACGACTGGCAGCTCCAGCTCCTTTCATGAGCTCTGAATAGAAACTCGAAAGGCCAAAAAGACTGGATCCAGCGTACGCGGTGTACATTAAAAAGGAGGTGAGTTCTCCGATTGAAATTGCCTGTGACTGAACCATTCCACCACCAACATAGAGGAGGGCAAGTATTGTAGCATTTCCCATCAAGCTTGTGCCGCTAAAAAAGGTTGCACTGATGAATGACTCTTTCTTACCAAGCTCAAATATTCGCTTGACCTGGCGATTGTATCGATGAACTTCCAAGATCTCGCCGGCAAAGGACTGACTTGTTTTAACATTGCCAAGTCGTTCCTCTGCAATTTTGGTCAATGTACCAACGTTCTTCTGTATCTTCCGGCTGAGGTTACGGATTGCTCGTCCGTAGAAGAAAGCCGCAAGAGCAATTGGAGGGAAAAGAAGAGCCAAAACACTTGAGAGCTTCAAACTGACATATGCCATCATTCCAAACCCGGCAGCGCCACTGACAGCTGCTCGTAGACCGTCTGAGAGATTCTGGGTAATACTCTTCCCCACAATGATTGTATCAGAGCTCAGCCGGGAGATCAGGTCACCAACTCGATTTGCATCAAAGAACTCGGCATCTTGAACGAAGGTGTTTCTGAAGAGTTTAGCTCGGAGTCTGGCAACAATTCGTTCACCAACAATTCGCAAGATGATAATCCTTCCGTAGTTTGCAGCAGCTCCGAGCAGAATAATTCCTCCCAGTGCTGTATAGAAGACAGGGAGACTGATCCCTAGGAAATCTTTCAAAGCATTGGGATTGGAGCTGGTCGCAATGTCAAGGATCTTCCCGATAGAAAAGGGTATAGACATGGCTACCGACGAGGAGATGAGAAGGAACAAAAAGGCAACAGAGAGGACCTTAGCCTCTGGACGTGCAATTGTGATCAGCCTCCATATCTCTCGAAGACCTGACTTCTTCCCCGAGGCCAGTCCGTCCTTTGCCAGCCTTGCGCTTAGGTTTATCTGAGCAGCCTGGGATGCTCTTTCAGACCGCTCGAACGCTTGACTTATTTCTTCTGCTTGAGCGACCTCCTTCACCACCGGAGCTGTACTTTCCTGAAGTTGCGAGGAGCCATTCTCACCCGGAGAGCTCTTCCCAGTAGCAAAACGGAGCTGTCTGTATATGTGATTCGAGGATTGGGGGAACACGGCGTTTCGGGGGAGCTTTCCGAGGACATCTGGACAAGAGGTAGGAGTAAAAATTCCGCATCTATGAAGCCTGTTTCCACCGAACACCGGTGGTGGAACGGCATGGTACTGCCTGGCGAAGGCCACGGGACGTACCAACAGCGCCCTGCTATCGGTTGCGAGACATCGTGACGAGAGATTGAGGCCCAAGGGACTGCAGCGTACGGCGTCTCTAGAACAACTGGCCGTCTGGAGGAGGACTCTTGAGCCGCGCATCGCGAAGTTTGCGCCCCGCCCGCCGCTACTGAGCGCCCCAGAACAAAATGGAAACGAATGGCATTCAAGGCACGGATGGCATAGTGAGGTCGCTATCGATGCTGCCTTGGACCATGGTCTTTGCGACTTGGCTGTTCTGGCTGGGGAAGACGGCGGATGGATGATCGTTTGAGCTGAGGTTTAGGTGAGGTCGCTGGCGGCGCCCCGGAACAAAAAAAAAAAAATTTAGTCATCCCGAGCTTCTTTCTCCGGGCCCGCTGCCCGAACATTCTCAGAGGTTCTCTTGGGCGAAGAGCAGAAGCAGCAAAGGTGGAAATAAAGGGATGGCCAGGTGTCCTGTTTCGCCTTGACGCAGAAATATTTCTTCGCTTTGCGTACGCTGGCGAGCCGAAGCTGCAGTAGCTGCTGCTCAAACGCTCGATCTCTCTGGTAACTATGTTTGTACCCGCGCTTCTACATAGATAGGCAGCCGTGGCGGGGCAGTTTTGCTAACAGAAGCACCAGACAGAGCTACTATTCATCTCTCCGCAGAGATGGTGCTTGACTACAGTAAATGGGATGCTCTCGAGCTCTCAGACGACTCTGACATCGAAGTCCATCCCAATGTGGACAAACGGTCCTTCATCCGGGCAAAGCAGAACCAGATCCACCAGCAACGACAGCAACGCCGCCATGAGATCGCAACTCTGGGGTACGAGAGGATTATAAACGATGGCCTGTTGAAACGGATTGACGGGCTGTTGACTGCCCTGAAGAAACACGAGAGTGACTCCAGGAATCCGGACGAGCTCGTTTTCCAGGCCCTGATCGAGTCTGCTGGTGACCCCAAGGAGGACCAACCACCCGCTCCGCCAGAGAATGTCCACACGCAGGAGACCCAACCAAAGTACTCTCAGATGATGGGATCGCTGGTGGACCAGGTCAAGAAGGAGCTGGATGAGTCGAAGCCGGAGAACAGATACCAGGCATTTATCACCGGCGTTGAAGGCCACAGAACCAAGGTACTAGACCTCCAACAGCAACTCCTTGAGAAGCTTGCCCAATTGGAAAAAGAGGAGAGCAAAAAGATCACTAGTGATAGCATACACACTGGATTTGACAGCTCCTTTGTCTCATCGTCCAAGACCAAGTCTGAGCCAAGGAAAACCAAGGAGTCGACAGTCGAGCTCCTCAATCCAAGCAGTGCAGGCGCAGACAACATGGATGCCGTCTCTTCCGGTGCAGAGGCTGATATTGAAGACGGTGAAGGAGACGAGGAGGGTATAACCGTCCGCCCTTTGACAAAGCAATTTGCAAAGTTTAAGATTGGAGACTACCGTGAAACATACTCATTCATCACCGATCACCCTGAGATACTAACAGAGAAGAGGACGGATGAGCTTTTGATGGAGGCTTTTAACGCCCAGATCTCTGGTGATGAGACTTATGCCCGTCAATGCGTCCATCACGGCTTACTCTTACAATACTGTCGCTCTCTAGGCAAAGACGGCGTTTCTCTCTTCTTCAAGCGGTTAGTTTCCCCTTGGTCATTTTCATCCCTGGAGGCTTAAGCTAGGTTTTACTGATATTCTATTGGAAAACAGAATCACCACCGAAGACCATCGTGCTGGTGTGATGTTCCGTGATGATGTTAATGACACTTACAACCGTATCAAGACTCGTGCAAAGGAACTTGCCAAATCGTCTGCCGAGGGCCAATCAGAGATTGAGCAAATCCAACTCCATGCAGTTGACCCTTCTACTAAGCTCAACATCTCTATTCCCCCGGCTGACAGCAAAGACGAGGCTCATATTGCTGCTCGCGAAATCTTTAACCGTTTCCCATCAGATCTTCAGAAGGCATTGGAATCTGAAAGCTTGGATGAAGTAAACAAAGTGCTGGGAAAGATGAAAGTGGAGGAGGCAGAAGATGTTGTTGAGAAGCTAGGAGAAAGCGGCATTTTGACTGTTGAGCAAGGAATCGTTGACGCCACTACGGAGGAGGGCAAACAGTGGCTGGAAGAACTTGAGGCAGAGAAAAAAACAAAGGCTCCAGAGGCTGGCAAGGAGGAGGAGATTGGAGATCCTGAATAAGCGAGACGGCCCGTCCGTTCATGTTGACCTTTTGAAAATGCCATCTGCATCTCTATTGCATCTTTGAAAAATGATATCCATTCTCGTTCGCCCAATAATAGCCAAGTTACTGCTCCTAAGACGGGAAGCAAAAATTGTCTAGCTAATCACTGGGAATTTAGTTACAAGACATTGTCACGGCTTTGATATGATTCCCCCCTTAATGTTGATTAACTAGCTATCCTCGAAGCTGAACTGTATATCAACCGAGGCGCGTCTCACAAGTGCAACAGCCTACGTCGTCTAATGTGACCATGGGACTGACTAGCCTCGTAATAGCTATATGCAGCCCGTCTATTATTATACTGGGAGCATAGCCGACTCGAATACGGGGTACTAGAAGGTATGGCAGCTCCAAGCCCCAAGTGTACGTTAACTGGCGCAAAGAAGCAAACGTAGTGAGACATTGTGGCGCTTAATGCACAAGCGAAGGAGGGCGAGTGAGTTTGCTGCATTAGCTATTACTCTTTGTCTTAACTCCAATGTACTATTAACAGCTGCTCAATAACCATCATCCTGTCTTGATGCCATGCTGGAGTGACCTCGTAGCCACCGGGTTTGAGGATGCGTGAAGTGCGCTACCAATTTTCTCGATCTGTTGGTAACTTTGGAACCGGGTTCATTCCCGATATGTGGTTTGGTAAGGTCTATATATCTCCGTAACAACTCATGGGAGTAGGAATGCTGCAGGATCTGTAATATTGTCTCAGAATTCTGGTTGCATAGACTGAAAACGTAAATGCAGTCAGGCAAGACAGACTCTTCCTGCAACCAGTCAGCATCTAAGCCATGCCGCGAATAAACCGGCGAATCTTTTCACAAAGCCCGGGTCTCCCATCCCAGGGCGCGAAATTCCATTCCATTTGGCACGATGTCCTCTCCAACGCATTCCATAAGCGTTTCTCAATATCAGCACCAACTCGCAGGATCGAGTCTCTTGCAGTTCCCCACATGCGTTGCGGACTGCCGTCAGCAGCCCAAGCAAGGCCACCTTCTCCAAAGACTTGAATTGGATCTAGTTTTGGTAAATTTGCATGGAATGTGAGGAATGCGTTTGAAGGTGCTGCTGGCTTCCCTTTCCATCCATACATCCTATCTGGTCTTGATATAACTTCCCACGTTGGGTCTGCCTGAATGATAACGCCCCCTTCCCACCCACCATTCTTGTTAATGTATCCGAACACCTCAGGGCGAGTGGAAACAGCATAAAATGGAAGATTCAAAACCATTGCCGACGGAACGTATGTTTCTTTATCTCCTTCGCCTGGATGGCCCTGAGATAATAGGGGGTAGTAGTAAGACGGACCGTAAAAGTTGTAGTATGCAGAAAGTAAAAGTAATTTAGAGTGAGTCCGTTTGGATATTAGAAGCTGGCCAGATTCTGTGGATGGAATGGGAAAGGTATTCGGCAATTGCTGAGATGTTATTTCGAAAAACCAAGGGTGATATGTAACCTGCCAAAAGTCTGGCCATGTTACCATTCCGGTTGATATGAATGGTTTTGAGGTGAATAGACGGGCTGGGTCATGTATGGGAAACGCATCTGCGTCAAGAAAGAAAGCTTCTTCGAACGAAGAAAAGAGAAGTGAAAATATTTTAAATTGATATCTCATCAAACCTTCTTTCAAGGGGGAGAATGATAATATCTCGTCCAGAATTATACAGCGTGTATTCAGAGACCGGAACAGTATACCACATGTAAACGCATCGTGTTCACTTCTATCTGCAAGGAATATCTCAACCGGGAGCTTTGAGCCAGTCACTCGCAGCATATATATGGACGTTACGAGGGTTGGAAGCATTGCTTTGCTGGCCGTAGAAACAATCCCTCGAGTCCTCTTCTGGAATGGTAGTACAGGCCCATCCGGCGGAGCAAGCAGCCTGAGAAACCGAGCATGGGCGAGCTTCAGTTTTCTCTTACTCTCTTTATTTAGTATGAGATTTTCCGGCAGAGTGATGTTTCCGATATTATCTGGGTGAAATTCTAGCGGCGCCGGGTGTTCATCGAGCTTGATGGGTGACTTGCAGCCAGGAACAGCGGCTTTGATGATGGCATGGAAAGCATACCAGAATCTCCTCTGGTCATCAATGGACGGTGTCGGTCCTGGACGGACTGAATATCCGACAGTGCTCTTGCGGAACATAAGTAGGACCATGGACAGGACAACTACCAGTAAAACACCTCTCCGTAATGAACTTCTACCTGCAGCCATGCTTTTCCGCTAGGAGAGGCACTCCTAGGCTCCCGAGTGGTATAGGCTGTAGTAAGCAAGGGATCAACTGCATCTCTCGTCTTGTTCTTGTTGCTCGACTCCATCGAGAGCAAACCAACAACAACAAAACAAACATCATCGAAGGCACTTTTATATCACGTGTTGTCCCAATCAGGAAGCAGGAACATCCCAAAAACTTCCATCGCTTGTTCTCCCGATCTACGCTTCCAGGCAAACAAGCAAGGTGGGAAAAAAGCAGGCAACCAGGCAAGCAAAGAGGACAGCCAGTTGACAGTCAGGGCCATTACGATTGGGAGAGATATATGATTATGACGGACTTCGCAGTCGACTTCGTATGAGAAGACTTTGCTCCTCCGTACACCAACACATCGCTGTCTCTGGATATTATTATTACGGCCAGGCTGACACATCGAGAAAGACCATTATTGCCCACACGACAGGCGACACTTTAATTATTTGTTGGCCGCAGCCAGCCAGACGGCAGTTCTCTGAGACACCGACGACCTCGGAGGTCTTTTGCCGAGCGGCACAATGAAAGGCCAGGAAGGTGGCAAGTTCTTCAGAGTGCACTATTGCCTGCCACACGACTCCTGCACAGCCCCTGGCAAAAGGTACTTACTTGCTGCACAGAAGATTACTACTACGGGGCAAACCACGCTTCACGGCAGTACGGATACTACGGGGATACAGATGACGAAAGGACCAGTAAAAAAAAATCGTGAAAATTCAACACTTCTGCCTCCCATCCCTTGAAGACACAGACCATGACTCTCCAATGCCCTCCTCCACTTGCTTGTCATCAATCATCCGGCATCAACCTCCCCTTTGGCACGAAGGCCCCTATTGGCTAAAGCATGTCAAAATTGACGGATTTATGGCGTCAGGGGAGGAAAGAACACCAGCTGGGATAGAAACATGAAACAGCGCTTCAGGAGTTTTGCCAAGGGCGGCGGAGGAATGCCAAGGTGGAACCCTTGAGGATATCTGCATGGCTTTTGTGGGGTGAGATCCCGGAAAGCAGAGCCAAACGACGCTTCGACCGGGCGCTTCTGGTTGCACCAAGTCCTTCGCTGGGTAAACCGAGTACCGAAATACAACCTGCAAAAGTACCAGGCACTCTGACCGCAAAAGAAGAACGAATAATTGAAGCACCAAAGGGCAGATTTAAAACGAGTACCATGGAGGTCAGGGAAATGGGGAGATAAGGGGAAGCAGATACGACACATGTAACAGCGAAAGAGAGCGCCCCATACCAAGAGCGACAATCTCAGATGATCGCGCTCTCTCAACCCAGGGTATTGCTATGATACTGATAAATCATAGGCAAGGCATAGAACCTGCCACGTACTCCCTTCGGGGTACCTTGTACGCACCAAGTACTGTTGGACGCCGGCTCAAGTGGAGGCTACTTACTTAAGGAGGGAGGCGAACACAGAAAAGGAACCAAAGCCAAGCCAACACCGAATCCCTCCTCCTGTTTCTTGGGCCTTTTTTGGTACCTGTCCACCAGCGATAGCCTTGGTAGCGCTGTCATGTGATAGGGCTGTTTCCAAACCATCCTTCAGGCACCTGAAATCGCAGCAAACCATTGCCCGTGAGCCGACTTTCGTCTTAACATCACAGCGAGTTCCATGCTTTATAGCCCTTCACTAGGCTTCGGCTTCTTTCGCTAATTCACCTTCTCTTGTTGGTCCTTTTTTGGACAATTCCATCATTTGGCATTTATATACACGCGGCCCTTTTTCATTTATATTTATATTTTCTTGTTCTTTCAGCATTTTGGCGTCCCGGTATCAAATTCAACCTCATTAATATACGGCCTGCCAGACTGCAGGCGGTTCACAGCTTACCATTGGTCTTCAAGATCCAGTTCCTCTGGGAGGATAGGATGATATTTTTGTTAGGACGCCTTTAATTTTACCTGTATTTGGATTTTTTTTTTTTTTTTTTTTTTTTTTTTTATATCTTTTGTCGGAGGGCTTCCTTCGGTGCTCTTGTGAACACCTATGGCTCCCAAAAAGAGAGATGATAACTGGGTTGATGTAAGTGCATCCTGCCCGCAGAGCGTTATGCCTACTTTCACTGACACATATATTCAGGGTCTTCGAGGTGTCGCTTCGTTCATCGTCGTTACAGGCCATTTATGCACCGCCTTCGTTCCATGGCTCCATGACCCTGCGTTGTCAGACGGTGGCCCGTCAAGTATTTTCCAGCTCCCGATTCTTAGATTATGCGTTGGTGGCAGAGGCTCCGTTGCGATTTTTTTCATTATCACTGGCTTTGTCAATTCGATCAACCCCGTCAAAAATGCCCGTGCCGATAATACCTATGTCGGACTCACAAACCTCGCCAGAAGCACTTTTACACGTTCCGGTCGCCTGATGGTCCCTACGACTATTGCTACGATTATTGCGTGGGCACTGTGCCATATGGGAGCATTCAGTATGGCTCAGAGAGCTGATGCAAGTTGGATTCGTGCTACAAGTCCTCCTCCTGGCACAACCTTCGGCGAAGCAGTTAGCAACCTGATCTGGAACCTAGTATATTTCTGGCATACGGGCGCCTCGGTATATGACGGAACACACTGGACACTTAAATTTTTCCTCAGCGCCTCATTCAGGACTTATCTTACACTGTTGGCTCTTACCTTGGTTAAGCGGCGCTACTGGTATGCTGTAACAGGACTCTTGTGGGCTTATGCCTGGCTTGTTAATGACCGTGAGTTATTTCCCTCTCATTTAACGTCCTTATATCTCATCATGTCATTCTAACATTTAACCACATAGATCTTGTTGGTATCAACATCTTTCCTGGTATGATCTTGGCTCAACTTCAGGTCGACTACGGCTCCCGCGCTACTCAAATGCTCCCGAAAGTCGTCCCTAGCATACTTATTTTCTTTGGTCTCATTATCTGGGGATTCCCTCAAAATAACCCAACCTGGGCGTGGTGGTCTGCCGCTATCCGCTCCTTCATTGTCGCTATCACTCCTGCAAATGCAGATCACAGCCGCTATGCCTCATCTCTTGGAACCTGCACCCTGATGTTGGGCATATTCTTCTCAAGGAACGCTCGACGCTTTCTCACCCTGCCACTTTTCAACTTCCTCGGGCGTGTCTCTTTCCCTGTCTACTTGCTCCATAACATTCTGATTAGAACCATCTTATCCTGGATGGTGTATGGTGAAAGTGCTACACGAATTCCAGTGAGGAATGAGAAGGGTGAACTCCTTCAGCTCGGAAGAGCCAGCCCTATGGCCTTCATCTTTATTCTGCCAATCTTTTACGCTGTTCTTTACCTCGTTGCCCATATGTGGGCTACCTACGTCGAACCCCAATGCGGCAAGGCGGTGGATTGGCTGAAAGACATAATGTTTAAGGAGCGACCAGATTCGCAAGAAAAGCTTCTCCCACTACCCAACGGAGGTTCTGCGAGCTGAGCATATTGATAACCTGTCCTTGCTTCCTCATTTATATTTATCCCCTATCGGCTTTTATTGTCAGGGATTGAGCTATCATATACCCAAACTGCATACAATCTTTGCTGCATATCCATGGACAGTTTCTGTACCATCGCTTACATACTTTCGCTTTTCCCCTTGCTATCTTCATCAGCTTTGTCCAGATTTCAGTATCCCCCCTTTTTTTTTTCTTGCCTTCATTGCACTATGGTTAGAATTCATGAAATGATTTGTCTCCAATTTGCTGTAGACAGCTTTGCATTGGGACACGAAAATGTATACTAAACCAGCTCTGTTTCTTTTTGGATATATAATGACAGATTTGGTTTGCTTCGGCGATTTTGTACTTGAGTTTATATTGGAATTGTAACAATGTACCTGTCCCATTGCCAAAGCCAGGTACTAAACACTTGATTATACATATTTTGGCTCAGCTGTCTCCCATTGTATGAATAAAGAGCGAGGAGAGCAAGGCGAGAATGCACCAGAGAAGAGTGCAAATAAAAAATCAATAGTCCTTGGGTCATAAGCCAGGTGGAATAGGTAGATATTACCCGTGGTGATAGTTAGGGAGTGCTCGGCTTTTTTATATCTAAGCTAAACCCCAGTGGCTCCTGGAGCGTTCTCGTCTTTCTTCAGTTCCAGCAGAAGTTCTCTGAACCGTTCTTTGCCAGAACCACTTGCGCCGCCCTTGATTCCCTTTCCACTAACGTCGACAAGTTTGGCAATCCGCTCCCAGCTTGTTCCACCAGCAGCGGTATCTTCTCTGTTTGCAAGGAACTCCTCTGCTTCTGCTCGAGTGCGCTCGCGGGCCTTGTCAGTACGTTTGTTGTAGGATTCGTAATAATCATCAATATCTTGCTGAGCTTTAGAGACGGTTGCCGCCTTCTTCTCAGCAGATGCCTCCGCCCGACGGGATAGCTCTGCATCTCGCTTTTCCCGCCATTCACTAGACACGCAAATCAGTTACTTATCTCTTTTTGTATCTCGTGGGTGTAGCATGCGCAAAAATAACGAGGGGGTATTTACCGGACGGCCTCCGATTCCTCCTCCAGCTCTTGATTATGACCGGAATATGACGGTTGGAAGGACGAGTCAACTCCGGTGATGGTGCCGCCAGGAGCTACGTTCTATTGTGGAAAGTGATATTAATATAGAGGGACAGGAGAGAACACCATACAAGGCAGAGCGCCTACCTCATTCTGCGATTCAATGGCTGGGTAGCTCGATTCAAATCCAGAATTATCATCATGGGCCACCATGTCGTCACCACCACCGCCTCCTCCTCCAAGCAGATCGTCATCTTCGACTGTGGCAGAGGGTCTGTTATCACTGGCCGAAATAAACTGATCAGCATCATCTCCTAATGCTGCACGCTCACGAGCAAGGAAATCGCTGTCGTCCTCGCTGGCTTTGTTGCCTGATCCCCCCGGGGTTGGAATCGGCTCGTCTGTTGTAATGCCGCCGCGGTCAGCTTGGCTCTATAACTTGTACTTAAACCATCGTCTAGCAAGTCTTCAGAAATTCTCCTACCTCCGGTAATGTCGTCAAGGGCAGGGAATCGGTCGGCCATGGTGATGATGCCTGAGCTGCGGCACTAAAGTAGAGAGAGATAAGAGAGACGTAATAAGGTCGTAAGAAATGAAGGAAGCCAGTTAGTTAATAAAACAGATAACTAGCTAACAAGATAAAGCGAGTGCGAGAGGGAGAAGGTCTATCGGCGGCTGTCTCTCATTCCAGCCTCTTCAACTGCCGCGTCGTGTCCTGGCTCGGCTTCTGCTCTGCTTGTTGTCGTCGTGGCTTTGAATAACTATCAAAAGCGAGGCCCAGCGGTGTTGGAGCTTTCACTTCAAAAGGGGCCAATAGGCGTCCGCTCTGGGCAGGCGGTGACTGATCTGCCAGTTTTATCATCTCCCAAATCAATTTCCAAGAACAACAAACGACAGCAACAACAACAGCCAGCTGCTTCAGCGTTCACTGCGACGAGAGCGCGGCAGAGGAAGGGCCTCGATCTTGTTATTCCTAGCTCACTAGTTGAAGCTGCATTCGGTTAATAATACTTTGCGCCTCAGGTTTCTCCTTTGGCAGTGGTCGCAATGGCCTATACTGACGATGCCGTGAAGGCAAAGCTGTCAGCTCTCAACGAGACACAGGAGTCCATTGTCACTGTTGCCCAATGGGTCATGTTCCATAGGTAAGGGGAGAAAAGAAAAATTATATCGGTCCCTTCGTGCAGTAAATTTTGACTATATGTGGAAGACTGATGGTCTTTGGTCGTTGAACATAGGCGACACGCAGACAGGACAGCCCAGCTTTGGCTAGAGAAACTACGCGATGCAAACCCGCCAAAGAGGCTCAATCTTATCTACCTAGCTAATGGTATGCTACCTGTATTCCTCTTGCTTGGAATGGGAAGCTAATATATTGGCCTGACAGAGGTTGCTCAACAGTCAAAGGGAAGACGCAAGGAGGACTTTCTCATTGCATTCTCGCCGGTTGGATTCTCCTTCGATTAGACCATATTTTTCAGCTTGGCAGAATTTCAACTAACAGATATAATATAGATTATTGCGGATGCGACTGCAACTGCTTTCAAGGGTGCTTCAAACGAGATCCAACAGAAGCTAAGACGTGTGGTAGAAGTCTGGAGACAGCGTTCCATTTTTGAGAAACCCATACAAGACGCCGTTGAAGCACGGGTCGAAGGTGCGTATCTATTGTATAATGCGCTACATATCTTCCCCAGTGTACATTGTGGGCTAATATTGGAAATTCTAGAGATCGATAAGTCTAAGCCCGCAGGGAAGAAGCCTCTCCTAGGTGGTTCCCTCTTCTCGAATTCTCCAGGTTCGCTGCCTCAGGAGCTCCAGCCTCTTGCTCCATTACAAATTGCGACATCAAAGGCTTCCGTTTCCTCCAACGCTACCGTGACAATTGCAAACACCGAATATGACAAGCTGAACGGTCCATCTGCTGAGATTCCTACTCCTCCCGTATATGCAGCTCGATTAAGCACGCTTCTTAAGACGCTTGCTAATGCTGAAAGCTCCGTGTCCGAGGTTATAAAGTGCCGCCAATCACTTATAGAGGGGCTTGAAAAGGTTCTCGACACCAACAGGGCAGCTTTGGTAAAGGAAAAATCCCAGGTTGAGCAACTATCGTCCCGTAGAACGGAGACGGAAAACAAGAAACGAGATGTTGAAGACGCCATAATTCGTGGACTTACCGCAGATGACCCATCAGCACAACAATCAAATGGAGGTGCAGCGTGGCCAGACCACAAGAACTCGTTTGGGGGTGAAGAGCCGGAAGCTCCTGCTGTTGAGGCACTTACACCTCCCCCAGTTGAAGCCTTGACTCCGGTTCAATCACCCACGCTAAATCCCAGCTCAAACAACCAGAATGAGCAGCACCCATCTACTATACCCAGTCATACAAAGCAACCATCCACGGGGAATTTTGGAGATCAAGAGCAAATGGCTTCCATTGACTTGAATGCCACACTCTCTTCACTCCAAGCTGCCACTAACACGCCCTCCAACGACACTTCTGCCAGTGAACTAGCCACTAAAAAGCGGAAAGTTAGTCACGCCCAGGATAGCTACCCTGAATTCGAAGGGGGAGACGCCATGGCTGATCTAGATGCAGATGTAGCTGAGCTATTGAGGCAAGAAAGCAGTAAGCACTAGATGGGGACCAAATTTGTTCCCTAGGAGGTTATGTTATGTACGGATATGCATGCAAGGATCTGACAGCTTCGTCATTTCCAGGCCATTTGTTGGGAATGTTTAATCTGGCTAGGGTTGTTGGGTATACTATTGTTTCTCCATTCCCATAGTATGTACTTTATATTGTATATGTAGGTCGCAATATCTTATTATTCGCTCCAGAAGGCAATCAAGATGAGCAGTCCTTACGTTTACGCCATACAAACTTATTAACCTCAGAAGTACGGAGTATGCTCAGAGCTTACGGTCAAAAAGGAGTATAGTAGAAAGTTCTTCAAGGTTATTGTAGGGGTATTCTAGATATCGATATCGTAACATATATGTACAGTAGAACGTTGTACAAAGCGCTGAGAAGCGAGCCAGGAACTGAACCTGTTCCCTTCAATATTCTAAGATGAATAGTGAGAGAGAATACATTCAGGCTGGGAAGAAGCAAGAAAAAGGGGCCTGAGAATCATGACTCTCAGGAAAGAGAAGAATTATATCATTAGTCAATGATTTTTATATTACGAGGGTAACAGATTGTCCGCCATATTCCATAAGTCGACCAGTAGTCTATGGTGAGCAGAATTTCGTCTCCGGCCTATTGTGGATGGTGTATCATTATGCAAGAGAGATCTTTGATGGGGGGGATTTTGAAGTGCTTCAGGGGGCGGTGGAGGCTGAGAAACCGATTCAGCGGCACGTTTCTTGGGTTTGACTAGCAATATAATGAACATTGCTACCACCAGAAGGACTAGTAGAAGTATTATTTTTCGTTTCGTGGTTCGTCTCTGGTAATTTGTGGCCTAGGGAGATCTATTAGTTTTCGGATGTTCGTAGAAATTTAGTGGATATAAACATACAACTTTTAATTCCTTATCGGCTCCTTTAACGTCGAGGGCCATCCGTTCGACATTGAAGTCAATGCGGTCGAGCATCGTACCCTGGTCGATGATCATAGTCTGCAACTCGCGGAAGATGTCGGAGAGTTCAATGATGCCTTTTGCAATATCATTGATTTCACGTTCCCGCTGGGCAATTGCGGTATCATTACTGCCAAGTTGCAATTGCTGTTGTGCTGTTTGCTGGAGAGTTGATTGGGAATATGACTTGTCCGCGTCAGATTCTATTAGGGATGGATCTGTGTATTGGTTTTGTACCGGAGAGCTAGATCGTTCGAGAGGTGAGACCATTCCATCTATGCCTCGCAGCTCTATTTCCACGAGAATAAGCATCATTAGCCTTGAACTATAGACAAAAGTTGATAGACACTGCATCTTCAATGTCTCTAACTCACTTTTTAGATATGTGCTTTGTTTCTTTCTGAACCCTGCACTAGCTTCCTGAACCCGTGCTGCAAGAGAAATCTGGAGATTCCTGGCCATGGTATCCTCACCCTTGTTGACAGAGCCCTGTTCTCGTGCCTCTCGCGCCATTATCTCAATCCTCTGTATCGATCTCTGGCAGTCGTGAAACCCTCTCGTTATATCTTGAGTCAATCGTTCAATCATATCTTCTTCTTCTCTCCGGACTTCCTCGTCTCCGAACCCAGGTAAGACATGTTTCTGATGCAGCTTATCCAGTTTTGCAGACTTCTGGGCAATATCTCGCAGATAATCGGTTACTTCGTCCTGCACATCCATCCACCGAGGTGGGAGCAAGTCCATCTCTATAACGGCGTCTCCATCATCTTCAAATCCGCTGCCGGACATGAGCCCGCGGCGTTCCTCTGAGTTTCCCGTACTATCTGCATGATCACTCCAGGCGCCTCCGATGTGCCGTGGTTTCTTGGAAGGGTGGTGCGCGAAGGACTGCCGGTAGGAGATATAGCTAAACAATGTCAAGTTAAAAGGGTAACATTAGCTATTTCCATGCAATATTTGTTCGCACCAGTGGACAGATAAGCTTACAGGTTTGTTCGGTCCCGCCACATGATTGGAATACAGAAGTATCAAAAAGAAAAGCAATTGAAACCGGAGAAAATGGCAAAGGCAGCAAACTATAGATCAGCGATCCGGGGTACGCCTGCGCATGATCCTAGAGAACAAAAGCTCACAGAACTCATAGCATGGGAGAAACTGGGTATCTCCGGATCTGCAAGGCTGGATTCTGCACACTGGAGGCTATATTACTTGTTGTCTGCCTGTCTGCCGTCTCCTCCCTGCTCACCAGCTGTCTTGTCTGGTGTCTTTTGTTATATCGAACCTGAGCAACCCATGACATAAGGCTGTCAAATGGTCACGTGATAGTCAAGCCAGGCATTTAGTTTTGCATAGATAGGGGCAAAAAGAAAAGAGAGAGAGTGTGTGTGTGTGTGTGTGTGTGAGAGAGAGAGGAGAAAGGAAAGAAAGCATGGGAAATGACAGCTGTTATTTCGCACAGAGGAGGACCAGAGGGTCAGAATTAGTAGCTGGTTGGACTGTGGTGTATGTGGCAGCACCTATGGATGTAGAACAGAACGGGAGCAGCTCTATGGAGTTAAGGGATAGTTAGCCATCAGTCACCTAGCTGAAATTAACTAGCTGGCTGTCTAGACAATCAGTTAGCTGGGTAGCCACATCATACTGACAATTATTATACGGAGTAGCTAACTAGATACTCCGTAACTAACTAGTTATTTACTGCTGGTCCAAGGCTCCCAAGGCACCTCGCCAGCCTCCTGCAGGCATACCCTGATTGTCCTGGCTGCTTGCTCTACGCTGCCCAACCAACTCGCAGCTGTGTGATAGGGAGCTGCTTCGTAGGCCATGGCTATAGCAAATAATATGGATACATAACACAGCTATAACCGCTTGTTGGCCAGCACCCCATCGCTGTATCAAGCTGACGTTTGTTTAGTCGGCCTATATTATTAGAAGCGATCAACTCGAGGGAAGAGGTCTTGGCAAACGTGATCCGAGGGGTCGAACTTCTCAAAGTACAAACTTCACTGTGTTATTTTATTTATACGACAGGACAACGACCAGCCAGCTTCTTGCGCTTCTACCGTCCAGCATCAGAGCCAGCGATACGTTCTTTTATCTCGCCCGTTCACCCAGACCTTCCTGTCACCGATAACCAGCTAGAAACCATGGTTTGTGGACCTGCGCATCCTGCGACCCCTCCTCAGTTCTCCCTACCCCCTATTATCCATAGAGAGCCACCGAGGCCCCTTCGTCAGCTAACAGTTTCTCCTTGACGTATATAGGCCGACTCTTTGACCGAAGAGCAGGTGTCCGAGTACAAGGAGGCCTTCTCCCTGTTCGTAAGTTATTTCTGCTGCCCCTTGTTGTTCCCGGAGTGGCATCGTCCAAGGATGCCCCGCCCTTGAAATGTGCGGACAGATAGCTAACCAAATGTTCCTCCATCAAATAGGATAAAGATGGCGATGGTATGTAGCGAACTTTTCTGTCTCCAAACCAAACGGAGACTGTAACCTGCCAGTCCTGAAAAGAGCGTTGACTCATATGTCATGTCCAATAGGCCAAATTACAACCAAGGAGTTGGGAACAGTGATGCGATCCCTGGGCCAGAACCCTTCGGAATCCGAGCTACAAGACATGATCAACGAGGTTGACGCCGACAACAATGGAACTATCGATTTCCCAGGTGCGACTTACTCCAGGGCCCAACAACCCACCCACACAGTTTGCTACAGGCCTAGTCGTTAATATACTCATGGCACAAAGGAATGTTACGCTAATCGTTTTTATGGTACAGAATTCTTGACTATGATGGCCCGAAAAATGAAGGATACTGATTCTGAGGAAGAAATCCGAGAAGCCTTCAAAGTGTTTGATCGTGATAACAACGGTTTCATCTCTGCCGCCGAGCTGCGCCACGTCATGACCTCGATCGGAGAGAAGTTAACTGACGACGAAGTCGATGAGATGATTCGTGAAGCTGATCAGGATGGCGATGGCAGAATTGATTGTAAGTACTCTCACCGCTGCTGTGTATTCCTTTTCTTTCTTTCTTTCTTTCTTTCGGTTTTTTACGGCTGGATTTTGCTAACGGATAGCTGTAGATAACGAATTCGTTCAACTCATGATGCAAAAGTAGGCTCCAAGTTCACATAGCAATCTAATTACTATTCCATAAAGATATCGACAGGGTCATATTTTTACGTTGTCACCAACCTCCCCTTTTTGCTCTTTACGGTTTTGCCTTATCGACTTACCCATCAATGGATGGATGCTGGCAACAACATTGTTTTTAAGGACCTTGGTTATAGTAACCAGTTAATTACTTGTGTCTTGGCCCTTCTTTCAATGTTCATCCTCTATTCTCAGTGGGACAAAGATTGGTAAAAAAAGGAATTACATAAGATTTTCCAGCTCCTGTGATGTTCAAATGTATATTCACCGAATTCGAATAGGGATACAATTATATTATATTAACAGTCTCTTCAAAATAAGTGCATATTCCATGCAGTTTGTGGTTACCCAATCATCGGCTTTTGAGAATAAACGTGGCATGCGAATATCGTAACTCTATCGTCATAGATCTCTAATACTATATTTTTATTATATCAAGTCACCGTCAATCCATGTGGGTTAAGCAACAGCTATGCCTAGTTTGAAAGTGAATGGACTACCGGTAAAACTTGAAAACATCCATGTACTGCCTCGCAAGGTCAACTCCAACGAGGCTAGCCTTTTTGCGTGCAGTATGAGCCGATGCACCCCCCTTGTCAAAGTATTCCCGCCTCTCAAGGCCTAATCCAGGGACTTGGATTGATTCTGAAGCCCCTGGTATAGAAAAATTATCCCACAGCTCACGTATTAGCATCACTCCCAGCTCCCAGTCTTCATCCGTAGGTATAATAACCTCACGGGGTGGGTAGTGCGGGAGAGGAGGAGCGAAATACCAATCCTCTTCAGGTTCTCGGGTGAGGTCTGGCTCCGACTGTCTCTGGCCTGGGCCACGGTACTCGATTTCCACGATTGCTCCACGAAGGCGGGGCCTGGGCATTGTCTGACGAACTTCGCCTATCCTGACCCGAAAGTCGCCTACTTCATAGGCTTCTCCAGAGGTGACGACCACGGTATAGCGGTGGTTCCAGAGTGGTTGGAAGAATTTTGTTGTCATGGAAAAAAAGGACAGGTAGGACTGCGGGTCGAAGGTCTTTATCGCCGTCGTATGAGCTTCGTTTTGAGAGGGTGAATTCAAGTCTTTGCTATCGGCAGAAGGTTTCGATTGAGAAGAAACTCCAGTTGCTGGTATTGGAACAGGTGGCGGTGAGTTCATCTGTTTCTCTATTTCGGCTGGGTCCAGCGGATCAACCTCAGGTCGTGGTGAGATTCGGACGAAGCCATGATTTTGGTAATGGCTAAGTGATAAAATATGCATATATCGCGGAGTTGGCACTTTATTATGGGGGAAGTTTGCTGCTGGCAGGCATGATGCAGTGTCTCGCACGAGTTTGAATTCTAGAGCCCAACGTCCAAGCCTAGCCGGTTGATGGATTGCTTTGAACCGATCAATCACAGTTCTTGTTGCTGTCGTTGGCAACTCAGGATTGCTTGGAATATAGTACACTCTAAGTAATAATGAGCTCCTGTCGTTGTCCATGATCTCAAGCGTGGATGGTTTACATACCCAGTTACCGACATTGTTTCCTGGACCAAATATAACTCCCTCCTATGACGACTTAAAATATGAAAACCCCTGAGCCCAGATTCACAGGCCCGAGAGATTCGGCCTCCCACACTCACACTGTATCCGGAGTAGAACGTCGTTCCCGGGATCTAGAGAGTAGGGATAAATGATGGGGCTAATGTGATAAATAAGGGTAATCGGAGATGTCTAGGTTGGTGCTATTTCGTAGTGGTATCGAACAGCGCAGACAAGTTAAGATCGGTGCCAGCCTTTGCTCTGGATATTAAAATCTGTAGTAAGGATACAAAGGGATTGGTCCTCCTGGGTATCTGTATTTAGCGGCAGGGCCAACCAACGCTCGAAATTCGAAGCCGGTCGAATATATATAATTATGACATTATCCAGCGGATCATGAAAAAAACAATGTAGTACTCCGTAAATAGCTAAATACTCTTGTCACTCATAGATCTTAAATTGTATATGGTATCGAGAATGTAGAGTCGGTGAAGTTGTTAGTTAGCTGCGGTGTGTTCGATGTTGATGATGGAGCCTTCTTGTCAAGTAGTTAACTAGTTAACTCAGAGAAATTCCACTCACGTGATGAGTTTCTGACGGGACCTCATCCGCTCTGGCCTCCACACACCAGGACAAACATCAAACTTGGCTTCTCTTGATTTCAAAAGTAAAGTGCGTGTTGAAGTCACCGGAAGTGGGTAAAGATAGTTAACTCACCATAGCATGGACCCAAAGATCCTCTACGGGTGTATCCGAGTTTTGCCAAATCTACCAACAACAATCTGGGGCAGATCAGACCCTGCTAATAATACCCTGGTGGCTTATTTCTGAACCAAGGGGGGAAGAAAATGGCCGAGCCTGCGAAAGTCAAGGACTATCGTGAATCACTTACACTCTGTATCGGCGTTTCCTCTCTGTCTTGCAACAAATAACTCCGAGTAGTCAACCTACGATCAACGCGGCAGAGGAAGGACGCAAGGATTCGTTCTGGACGCTGGGCGCCGAGGCCGACATCAGATTATAGTTTCCGCATCTCGCGGATTGATACTGACATACAAACATAACTGGTCTTTATTGAGTACGGAGAGGTTATCTGTTCTCTCCGGTTGGAAAAAATAACCATTTTTGTATGCAGAACAACCATGCCGCTATCAAACAAACGGTTTTCAAGCCCATCTTGGTGAAAGGCATGGTGACCAAGTGTCAAGAGGGCGACAAGGAATACTGACATCGCTGCTATACATGGGGCTGAAAATGCCGCAACTGGCTACTCAACGTCCCGGTTGATCCACCCGAATGCATGCATCATGAGCAGATGAGTAGCGAACATCCAAAAGCCAAGATTGACTGAGACTAAATTTTTTTTTTTTTACTTTTTTCTTTCTTAATCATTTTCCTCACTTGCTTACTCTGAGGACAACAACGGGTAATTCGATGCAAACGGCTGATTCTTTATACGAGGGTCATTGAGTCGTTGTTTGATTCAGGATCATCGTGGAGGGCAGCTTTCAAATTGGCAAAGAAGAGGTACAAATACACACAACTCTTTACATTCTGCTCCTAGTATTATATACAACAAGCCGGGGTTTGCTAGGAGATCTTAGAATAGAGCTGAGGAACGTAATCTGCCGCTCAACCACGCCCATGATGTCCCTGCTCGGTACCCGACAACGACAACTACTCCGTACATGTCCTCTCTGGATCCCACCTCAAAAGAGCCGGGCGGTGGGTTTCCCATTAAGTGCCCCGTAAATGCATATGAACGGGGATGGTTTGGATCTGGAACAGTTTCGCAGAGAGCACGAGCCATGTTCGTGTTTCGGCGCTGTGTCAGCCCAGGATCGGTATCTTGTGGGCAGGGGAGGGAGACTGACTCCGTAGCTCCATAGCCAAATGTGCATTCCCTTTTCTTCTGACTGAAACATGTCTTTCGCCCTTGGCACCTTTCTCCCACTGGCATATGAGTATCTCTGTATCATCCGCCTCCTTTTCTCCCCTTCGTCCCTTTCCTCCCTCCTCTTCCCCTTTATGTTACACGCTTATATAATCTGATCTAATCTGATCCGCTGATTGATAATGGCGTGACGCCCCTTCGGCACTTCAGCCAATCATAGCACGATCTGATATGAAACCGGTGGGCTGGCCGTATTGTAATTTACAGAGCGTTACCCAATCAGCTAAGGGGGCAACCTCCGCCATTTGAAGTGCATCGAAGGCGCACCTGATGGGCCGCGCAGACGACAAGGGGAGCGATGGCAAGGAGTTCGATCGTGCTAGGCCCGGCAGAACGCAACTGACCCATCACCGTCGACACCAAGGCCGGATGGACCTGCAGCCGACCGCGCCTGTTATCCGAAGGACGGTGTTGCAGGCCGCAACAAGACCCGTAATTATCGTAATTTACGTATCCCGCGTATTTTTCTGGAGTCTCGGCAAGATCTGATTAGGAACACTTTCTTCTCGGGAGAAAATTCGCCTTCGACGCCCCAGGGCGCCGACGGTCAGACAGCCGGACAAGAGAAGCCAGAGGGAAAGAATATAACTCGTCCAGTCTGCCCCAGGGCTCTCCAGGGCTATCCTCACACTCCAGCGTCACACATGCTGCCTTCTACCTTGTAGGCGATCTTCTGCCATCAGATAACCACATTTTCATGCTTTCCCCACTTATCTGATCAAAAAAGTACGGAGAACTGTGTTCTCATTCTGGAGCGCGGTATGCAGCCCCTTGCAATCATAATCCAACCAACCCCGAAATTTCCTCTATAAACATCCATTTCTTTCCGATTTATACTTATATTCGATATCGACATTCTCATACCTGCATTGATGCTGATTGTTGCTCCCTCTACCCTAGCTATACCCTTGTTGGAACGTTTTTCCTTTGGCTCTCCGGTTCTCTCACACAATGACGACTACAATATCATCTCTTCCTGGTGAAGAGCCAGTCTCTATCCCACTCACCTCTACATCGCATCCAAACGATCCTGTCCCCGAAGAGCCTACATCAATACCGCATCTGACCCTTCTACGACGCTCAGCAACGGGCACATCGGACTCGCAGTCAGCAGCAACCTCGGTAGCCGGCGCATCAGAAGTGTCTATAGATTCAGACGTCCCGTTGACACCAATAACAGAACCGTCCAGCGACGCGGCGTCGGAAGATGCATATGCTGAAAGCAAAGAGTCAGATGGAATACCCCAGCGCCGAAGGCGAGCTTCCACAGTATTGATATCTCAGAATTCAGAAGATGTCCAAAGGATATTGGGAGATATCCGCGGCGGAACCAACCTGTTAGGGAAGATATGTTGCGGAGGAGGATGCTGCAAGCTTGAGCCTCTCAAGAATGCTCTACCATCCATAACTTCGAACCCAGTTATCCGGCCAAAGAACGCTGCTTTCGAGAGCCTGAGGCTATACGTTGGCGAGCTCTCCCTTGACAGCAAGCTTACCAAGATAGCCCCTCTCCCAGAGAATACTGTATCCTTCTCTTCTCCCTCAATTGATTCTGTAGGAAAGAAACTAGGACCAGCAGATCATCCTCCTCAATTCCTCCAACCACACGCACCCTATGAAGTGTATCGTGCTCCCCTTTACCATGCACGAGAGTTGACGAAACCCGGTGCTGAGAAACGAACTTACCATTTCGATATCGATGTTACAGACTATCCAGTTGAGGGTGGAAATGTCGACTTTGTCGTTGGCGGCGCCATTGGTGTTTGCCCCAGTAACTCTGAGGCTGTCGTTGAAGCCATCTTCAACCGTCTCGGGGTTCCTAAGTTCATACGGGATAAAAAGATCACACTCCACACCACCAAGGGCCGATGGCCCACGATTTGGGGAGACGAAAAGCCTAGAGACCTCCTAACTACCAGACGTGAACTTCTTAGCTGGTGTTCAGACCTACAGAGCTATCCTCCTACAAAGCCGCTTCTTCGATTGCTCGCAGAGTATGCATCAGATGAGAATGAGAAGAAAATCCTCATGTACCTATGCTCTGCTCAGGGCCAGGCTGCTTTCTGTGACCTCCGTACTGGTCCTTATATCACTGTCTTGCAGCTTCTCGATGCATTCCCCTCCTCTCACCCACCTTTGGACCATCTCCTCTCCACCTTGAACACGCTTATGCCTCGTTTCTACTCACTCTCCCAGGACCCTATGATTCAACGCACCATTGATGGCAAAGAACCACGACGGGTTATTGAAATTGCTGTGACTGTTCACGAATGTCCCGACTGGAATGGAGGGTACCGCACAGGAGTTGGATCGGGTTTCTTAGAACGCCTAGCTCGAAAGATTCAGGCAGCTGAAAATGATGGTATCGATCCAGCTAGCTTGAACTTGCACGTCCCCATGTTCCGTGGGCTCATGTCCAATCCACTTGCTAGACGATTTGTCTCTGACGGACCTATGCTCCTCATTGGAGCTGGTGTCGGTGTTGCTCCCTTCCGCGGCTTCGTCCAGAGCCGTCTTAGATCAGCTAATTGCGCCAACAAGGTCTGGGTGCTCCAGGGAGTCCGTGACTCCTTGCTTGACGAACTTTACTCCGGGGAATGGGGAGTTCACGAAGACGAAGTTAAGAAGGTCGTCGAGAGCAGACGAGGTGAAGGCAGATACGTGCAGGAGGAAGTACGCCATCAAGCAGACCTGGTCTGGTTCGTAATCAATTCTCTTGATGGGCGAGTCTTCGTCTGCGGCAGCAGCAAGGGTATGGGCGAAGGTGTCGAGGCTGCCTTGATTGACGTCGCCATTGCAAAGGGCAACTTGAACCCAGAGCAGGCAAGAATATTCTGGGATGAGAAAAAAGCGGCTGGCCAGTACATTGCAGTATGTCTTAGTTCTATTTTCTTTTTCTTATCCTTATTTGAATATGAATCCATACTGATCACCCGAAACAGGAGACTTGGTAAATTGAGCTACACTGAACTTTTCGGGAAAGACTGCCCTCTATCAAACGACC